TCGGAAGAGAATACTCGCTCTTGTCTCCCTCTGGCGATCGATTCGCGCGGAGCCTCCGGCAAATGCGCGATTCGTTCGTGAAGAAGGTCGTGCTGTCGTCCAGTCCGGCGCGTGATCCACAATTCACGGCGCTGGCTATTCTGAATTTGACCGGAGATCTCGCGTTTTGCAGAAATGGCGACGAATCGTGGAGATTGATTGAAGGGGCTCAATCGTATTGTGAGGATGCGATACACTATAAAGACTCGTTCTACGCCGTGGATAAGTACGGAGCGATCGCCGTGTGTGATGTTTTGTGTGATGTTTGCGATGATTCTTCGGCTCCTAGGGTTTCTGTGATCGCAACGCCGCGCCAATTCGGCGGTGATATGCAGTATTTGGTGAGTTCAGAGGGCGAGTTGTTGCTAGTGACTCGGTTTCTGGACCTTGAATTCGATTACGAGCCAGATCGACCTCATTTGGTGTACAGAACAACCCGGTTCGAAGTTTTCAAGCTTGACGAGGTTGGATGGCAATGGCAGAGAGTGAGGAATCTCGGTGAAAGGGTTCTTTTCGTCGGTGAGAATTCATCTCTATCTTTGTCAGCATCCGATTTCCCGGGATGTGTGGCGAATTGCGTATACTACACAGATGACTATTCTGAGACAAATTACGATGGTGTGTTTGGTGAACATGACATTGGAATTTACAAGTTATCGGATGGGAGCATCGAATCTTTGCCATGCTATTCAAGAAACACGTTTTACCGGCTGCGATGGCCTCCGCCGGTTTGGGTCACACCGAACCCGTTTTAAGGAAGTCACTTCATCAATTCATCTGTATATTGAATAAATCGAGACTCATCATGATTGTATTGTGTTGCCGTGGAAATTGTTGTTTTGAGCATCTAAAACTATGGACATCATATGCATCTTTATGTTGTTTGCTGTTTGGTTTGTGTATATGGAGCAGAGTAATAAGGCTCAAAACTTCCAGAGACTTGCATTGAATTAATTGTTTGCAGGTATGCAAGTTCTGTAAGAGTATTGACCAGGGAGAAGCTGAGAACTAGCAGTGATCTCTGCAGGAACATGACCCATCAGAGTAGTGATGAAACTGCTTTGATCCTCAGATGATGATGATGATGGTACAACTTTCTCGACCAGAGAGGTATTGCTTTTTCTGTGTTATGATATGAAAGTCTCCACACCCATTCTAAAGTTCTTCATAATGATTATTGACATCATCTACGTTGTGTAGTAACATTTCCGATCTAGGCTTGAATCCCTCATCCTTAAATCTTTTGTGTAGTTTTTTTGCAGCTTCTCGTATATCTTCTTTGACTCGGGATGAGACCAATAGCCCACAACAAACCAGTGAATCATGTTACCATGCTCGATGCAGCTGCACCGTGAATCTCTCTTGTAAGATCCTTCTGCTTCATCCAAACCCTAATTCTTGAGGCATTGCTCTTCCCCATACCATCAACTGAATATAGTTCCTCGCATCAGACGGTTCTAGGCGGCTTCCTCTTTGGGTTGGGTATCTCCATAGCACCCTAGAAGCACCAAGTAGAGCTCCCCAAATCCAGAACTCGGCTCGATCAGTGATGCCGGACCCATGAAATCCACGATGCATGGGTTGGTAATCCAACCTCGACTCGACCCGAAGCAACGAGGCCTCAACGAGTGAAGGTAACATGATCAGGCCTTACACCATTATTAACCATCATCTCGAAAATGCTCTTTTACTCCTGTGAATGAGTTTGTTCGTGTTACACCTGTGAAAGCCTCGTGCCAATTCCCGCACCCCTATCACTGAGAAGAAGCGGAAACCATGGCTTGATCAGACGACTCGATCCCCACACTTGTGCTAACATCAAGAGAGGCGAAACCTTTTATTTTTAGTAATAATCGTCGTGTTCCATGATACTTTTGTCTACCTGTCGAGATATAATGGCTCACCTATGCTGGTAGTAATGCGACTCAGATAGTCAGTATTATATAGCATATGAGGAATGTTACGAAAGTTTACCCAAGTGGAGACTGATTGCACCGGGGGCTTCTCCGGATTATGGTGTGGGTTTCAGGCAGTAACAAACATAGGACACTGCCCTCTGTGTACCAAAACTTCTTTGTGAGGATTTGCACTCTAGCAGCTTTGTTTCGGTACCTTGAATAGAAACGTGTCGTTTCCAACATTATGGACTCGGATCCGGGGACCTCCCCGTGACCACAGTGTGTACTACTCTAATGATTCTTCACATGGCAGATGGGAGACCATAGAATTGACCAAATAAGAAATTCCGTCCATTCCTGAGCAAGAGTCATTGATAGATTCTTCCGGTATGGTGATAAGAGGAGCACCTTAGACATGTATTCCCGGGGTTCTCGTATGCTGGCGCCTGAGTTTTCCGGTGAGAGGGGGTGGTGGTTTGAGAATGGAGGGGGATGGTGAGCGAAGACCGGCAAGTCATATATAGGGTTTGTGCCAACCGGCTACGACCGGCCAGCGGAGCTTTTTCAGTGGTTGACCGGTTTTTAGAGTTTGCGGTTGATCGCGTTCGCAATCGCCTTAGCGGAGAGCCTTTTTGTTACTCATCATTCTTTTTTGCACAAAATTTATACTCTTAATGGTATAATCAAATCATTTCGTCAAATCCTACGTACATGTTTTTGCCTTTTGGTGACCCATGAGTCCATGACCACAATTATATTGTTTTTTTAAGTTGAACTAATTGGATTGGATACCGTTTATTTTCTTAAATGTTGGATTGGGTAACGATGGTAACCTTTGCTTCAAAAATATTTCAGTTTCGATTATTTACTTTGGATTCGATTAATTCTATAGAAATTCGTTTCATTATTGGAATTTAAAATTAGCTTAGTGTGAAATGGAATATTTCACCCCCAATCGTATGAGATGCGAGATAAAATCGGTTCAATGTCCTCGCAAGATCGTTGGGCCATGTATCACGTGAGCTCCACGTTAAACGTGACACGTGGCACCTCTCTTCGTTTTCCGTCGTCAGGGACGTCAACTTGACAAAAAAATCCATATTTATGAAAGCCATGGAGACGAAACAAAAAGGAAGTGTTGTCCGTCTGATCCTCAGAGCACATAAAAAAAAATCTTCGTCCAGTTCTCTGTTGTCTGTAATTCAGCCATGGAAGCTGCTGCCCTGAGCTCCTCCGCGACGATAGTTTCCTCGTCTTCTCCATCGCTCTCGATCTTCTCGCCGACGAAGAGAACCGACTCGCTGAAACCGAGAATCGTCCGGTTTTCGAAGAGTAAATTCATCATCGTCCCCGAATTCTTTTGTCGTTTTTAGTTTCGATTCACTCCATGTGTTTATGTTGTTTTTTGTTTGATTTAGACAACGACAAGGAATCCGATCTGCAATCTGAATCGAATTCATCGAGCCTCGTCCCTCTCTTCGGATACCGGACCCTCTCGAGGGTAATCTCTCTCGATCTCTGTGTTTTATGTCCTCCTTGTGGAATTAGGGTTTGTGTGGTAGAGCAACATGTAATTAAGTGGTTTGAATGAGGATAATTTTGGGAAAGAACAACTAAGGAACAGGAAAGAGAAATTATATGAATAGTGAGGGATTTATAGGGATTGATTTGAGAGAGATGGTGGGATATGAAAAGAATTTAGGAATATTACTATTATGATGTAGAATATATCATAATAAACCTCTGAAGAGAGTCCAATCTAACGATTTGAAGTCGAAATGTTGTTAATAATCATAGGTGGGTTTGCATGATCTAATTGGAATGACTGTAGGGATACTAATACTAATCATGGAAATTGTGGATGTAGGATGAGGCTATGGGATTGGTGTTGAGCTCAGCTTCAGTGAGAGGATGGACAACAGGTTCGGGCATGGAAGGGCCGTCGGTTCCAGCCGGGGCCGAGGAAAGATCAGTGACGGAGAACGTATCGACGTTTCCATGGTCGCTCTTCACGAAATCACCCCGCAGGAGAATGCGTGTAGCCTTCACTTGCAACGTTTGTGGCCAAAGAACCACTCGGGCCATCAATCCTCACGCTTACACCGATGGCACCGTTTTCGTGCAGGTTTTAAAAAAAAACAAAATCTTTAAACACCTTAGAATCAACGAGGAAACGCATTCATTTTTTTTTTTTGGGGGTATTTGCAGTGCTGCGGATGCAATGTATTCCATAAGCTTGTGGACAATCTGAACTTGTTTCATGAGATGAAGTGTTACGTGAACCCGAGCTTCAATTACAGAGATCAGAAGACGGACATAAGCGGGTTCAGGCTCTTCGACATGGACGACGACAAAGACGTCTTTGGAATCTAAAGAGTACTTGTTGATTATACATTGTCCTTGTGATTATACGGGCGTGGTGTTGTATATCTATCTGTACATAGCTACCTTCTCATACCAACTTAGACATCAATAATAAATTCAGTAAGAGCCGTGAATTTATTCGGCTATCGGTTTAGAATCCGACAAGGAGAGCCTTTGACGTACCGAGACTGCGGAAATATGTTGTTGTTCTGAGGAGTTATGGTGATCCATGATTAGCCATTGGAGGGGTCGCTCTTATCATCAAGCTCTGGATAAAGGCTATCGTCTGGAGAAGGACAAAGATATCACCGGCGTTAGTTTCCTTGCACAACGAACAAGTAACTTCTGATGAGTGAAAAAAGATCAGTTTGGATAATGCCATGACCTCTTTATGCATTATTTAGAAGAAGCAAATATAACATCAAAACGTGCATTCATTGGTTTAGAGGCTGGTCATCTCATGCCATTACAGACGCATCTTTTGGCCAAGAAACGTGAAAAATAATACGGTTTTTTTGTTGTTGTGCTCGCAAGGCAAGTAGTTGTAAATTTCGGAAGATCTAACTCAAAACCAAAATGAGTGGAAACGGATAATTCATGCGGTCGATCCCAAATAAATTTGGGATTAAGGCGGTGTTGATGTTGTTTTTGTGTTCGCAAGGCAAGTGATCTTACCGTGGTAAACCCAATGCACATGATACTGAAACCCGGGAAGTTGAAAGGTGCTCGATCAGACAGGAACAGATCTGGAGGGGGCAGAACTACATGTGTTACACTCAAATTTCCTTTTTGTTGGATCTTGAAATTAGTAGCTATGGATGAATTATGCACCAACCGGTCAGAGGCGAGAAGGCCAACGGAGAAATAACGCTGGCAAAGGAGCATATGCTTGAAATTATCCCCTGAGCCTTCCCCTGAAAGAGGCACCAGGAAAAATAGATTGATCACATTGTTTCTGTCAAAGCGAATTTGAATGCAAGTTGTGTTTCCCTTCCCCGAGTATCTTCGGTCACTATTTTTTTTTCTCTTCCCATCTTATCTTCCATCCCTTCTCTCTTTTCCTTATCATATTCCTGTAATTCTATATCGGTTATGCATCTTCTTTTGATCTCTCTATTTCTATCCATCCTACACCACAAATATGTCTGATCCATATTAATATTATGAGACTATCATGAAACTTCATCGACCGGGTCGCGATTACCTGCTCATGCGTTGCTACTTGTTTAGATACAATGCTCCTCATCTGCAAAGTTTTGAGTACTTCAAAGTTTCTAGTATATTGAAGTAGCAAACTGAAGAACATAATATAGGGTAGGAACTTACAGATGGCTGTGATAATATTGAGAAAACTGAAAAGGCGGCCGACGTATAGGGAACCTGTGAGTTTTCAATTCTTTAGCCAGATAATGGTGTCAAACTCTACCAGGAATCTATAGATACTGCTTAAAGCGTCAAGAAAAGTAAGGAACCCTTCAAGAGCCAAAAAAAATATTTTCTAGGAAGGTTGAGAATAGATACCCATGCGGACCATGCCACACTAAGAAGGAACATCTGCACGATTAGAGAAGGAACATAAGAATATGTATCAGAAGCAGCAGGTGAAATTCGGCCAATAAGCAGAAAATAAAATTTAGATATCTAGGCAGGGAAAGGTGCTTACATTGGCACAACCAAAGAAAAGTCCGATTGAAAGCATTATCTCCTCTCCTAAACCGTGAACTAAAATGGGCATGAAGAGCAACTGAAAATTTGCTTCCCATTTTAGTTCAAAGAAGCAGTGTTAAAGCAAAAAATTGAAGCAAACACAGTCAACTTGGAAAGGTAGCAAATTGGTTCTTTTCTACCTGTGAAATAGAACCTGCAGCACCATATATGACCATGAGGTCGGCAAACTGGTCCTTATTAAAATGAAATTTGGCCTTTAAGTAGTACTGCACAGAGCAAAAAAATAACCCATTTCATCTATCTACGAAACATTTCACGAAATATTGCAGACATGCAGATGATGAACTGGTTAAGGGGTTCAAGAATCTAAATTCTTTCAAGGATTGCCATGACTGGATATTTTACTTGTTCTTATAAACCGTAAGCACGTGGATTAATCGTAGTTTTAAGCAATTAAAGCTGTGGTAAAGATATGCCCAAATCTTTGTCACTTTTGAAGATATTTGGGTTCACATAGGTTCATGCAGCAGATTCAGTCTGCAATTAGAAATATATTCCACGATCCCATGGTTATATTTCTGCGAGAAGGAACTCGTGCAAACCAACAAACAGTATAATCTGCAATAGAACAAAGGAAGCCTACCATGGTTGAAGCTTGTAGGCCAGCATCGCCAAGACTACTGAAGAACGACACGATCGCAGCCTGAAGAAGTGGCACACTGGAAAATAAATGCAAACACAAGAACTCAATCTCTCAGGTAAAACAAGTAAAGTGAATCTATTCAAATGTCCAATTCACCAAATCCAAATCCTTGTCCAAATATCATATACGTTGTCATGCTCAACAGGAACACATAATCAGAGTATTCCAGCATTTCCCAATTTCAGACCCCTGAATCATCCGTGTTCTTCAAATTACCCAATGAACTAGTGTAAGAAACATATGAACGAACCTGCTCTTCAACAGACCGACCATATCCTGAACCGAAGGCAGTGTTCTGAATACCTCAAATTTTTTGTCAGATTTATCTTTCGGTAAAGTCGCACTCACTTTCTCCCCTGAAAGAATAGGAACCGTCAAGCTATTGTCTGCGATCGAATCCGGTAAGAACAACCTCATGTACACTGTCGACAAAACCGCCACTGTCGCTGCAACCTAAAGAACAAAAATCAAATTTACGACGTTAAACAACCAAAATCTCGCATCTACATACACAGATATATGCATCTATGCACACGTATATCATCGAGTAAGCATACGTGGAGAGAAAGACCTGGAAAGTGGCGGAGGTGGAGAGAAAGCGAGCGGAGAGGGTGCCGCAGACGAAAGCGCAAGAGCCAATGCCTGAGAGTATTCCAAACGCGGAGGCTCTTCGCTGTTCCGATACATTATCGGCCTGAAACCTCGCCGGGGAAGATGTTAGAGAGAGCGGTGGAAGCCGCCGCCGTGGGTAGAGGAAATTTTGAAAAGCACTAAAACGACGTCGTAGGATTGAATAATTTGTTTTTTTAGCCATAAAAATGTTTATTTGTGGGATTTCAAATTGTATTTTTTAAATATAAATTACTTATTTTGAAAAAATATATATATTTCAATTTTCATTTTTCATATTTTTTCTATTTGATTATAATTGAGTTCGGATTTTGTAAAAACTATTTTAAGAAAGTAATAAAAAATAAATGTAATGGGTTTATATAAATATTATTGGAAAATAATTTTAACTATAGTAGAATATTATAATAATAATAATATATCATACCACGTAGGCGAGGGCGAGACAGTGGACACTTCCTTCGCAAACTGTTGAAGTGAGTGTCTTGAGGACATAGTAGACATAGAAGGTCGTTGTCGTTCTACTATAAGCTAAACTAGCTGTGATTAAAAACAAAATCACGATTATTTATTTATTTAAATTGATAGCAAATTAAATTAATTATCTTTAAAAAGATATTAAATCTAAATTAATTATGACAAATACCGTTGGTCGAATTATTATACAGCTCTAGTCTATATTTTATCATTAAGATTCGATTTATATGTGGTTTAAAATAAAAGTTGCAACAAAAAATATACAAATTATTTTAATCGTAATTGCATATTGGAATGTGGAATTGTACTTATTACAATCTCGGAACTAATCTTATTTATTTACTCAACTTTGATGAACATATACATATATGTATGTGTGTGTGTGTGTGATTGAATAGAATATTATTAGAATCAATGATAATTTAATATTTAAAATTGTGATATACATAGGCATAAAAGAAATATTAATTGATTAATAGTTAAAAACAAAATTAAATTCTGATATTAATTTTTAAAAAAAATTAATTTTTGATTTTATACATTGGGTTGGGTGGGTTTAATTGTATTCATCTTTTTGTTTAAACATAGTACGGCAATGAAAAGGAAAAACTAAGCATATGCTATTGTTTGAAAGAAAAAAAACATATATTCTTTTTCGTCCAACAAATTTTATCAATATTCTAATTTGTTTCAATTCTTGTTCTAGTAAAACTTATTTTTTTTTTCAAATGCTAGGACGTACATCCCTTTCGCTTAAGATATAAACTATACATTGCTGCACATAAGTTAAATGAATAATTAATTAAACACTTAATAAATAATTAAATTGGCTTATAATATATGATTGAGATTTCAAAGATTACCAAGAGGTAGAATGGCAAGGCTCATGGGAAGAGTGAGTAGAGCTTTCCTCCCGTACGTATCCGACAAGGTTCCAACAATCGGCATCATTAATAAAGATCCCAATCCACTGACCTATATTCAAAAAATAAAAAAATAAAAAATACCGCATTGATATCTTTTCAAGTAAATTATTTTACATTTATTTTTGAGTAAAAAGGGTGGATAAAAAAAAAGTTACACCTGACCAAAACTGAATTCGTTTCAATGAAACTTTTTCAGAGAAAATTCAACAATATAATAGGATGGATCAAAACAAGATGAGACCAAATCCAAATAAGATAATATGATTGGGAAAAAAATTATTTTTATTTATATAATTCGAAACTAATTGTATATATTTAACCCAAAATAAAAAGTAAAATATGGTAAAGGGTGTTGAAATAGAAACAAAATATGGAGATTTGATATGATTGATAATAATCAAAGTCATTATATCAATTAAGAATAAAATATATATCGTATCAATTATATTTTGTCTTATTTGTTTCTTCCGTATCTTTATTTCCTTGTTTCTTTCAATAACTTTTCCTATAAATATATGGATTATTTTCATTGTAATGTAACAAGAAGAAGAGATGTAGCAATAAAAATGTTTTCGTTCTTTTATATTTTGTTCTTTTTTTCTAATTTAATTTCCGCATTTTATTTTTCAATATGGTATCAGTGTTTCTGGGAGCGAAAAAAAATAATTAGACGGAAAATGTGTGATATTAATCCGAAATTGTGAAATAATATTTGGGTTTGGACGTGAAGAGAGGAGGAAGATAGAGTGAAGCTTACAGCTTGTTGGAAACCGGAGAGATAAATTGCGAGGGAGCATTCGTCTTCTCCGGGACAGAGGGCCGCCATGGTGACGTCAGTGATCGCCGGAATCACCATGAACGCCGAGAAACTGTGCAAGAAGATCGTCATGAACATGTGACCCAAACCCATAAACGTCGTCGTTTCCACCATCTCTTCTCTCTCCCCCCCTCTCTCTCGGTTGAAGAAACATAAAGCGTGAGTGGAGAACGATGGAAGGGCGACGATGGGTAGTGGTAATGTAAAAGAATGAGTAAGCCGTAAGAAAAAGTAAAAAAGAAATATTAAAAAAATAGGAAAAGGAAATTATCCCATTTTTATCAAAATTTTCAGAAAAAATATCTCAATTTTTAATTGACAACAATTATGTTCTAATTCAATCCATAACCAACATAAAATCGTTCTCTTCCCTTTTTAATTCGCCACGTTCGTTGAAGTGAATGTCATGTCATCAAGATTCAAATGAAATGTCACATTATAAAAAAAAAAATATACACATATCTATACATATATATATATATATATGCACTTATATATACATATATATTATATATAGATTCATATAGTGAGCCAAATTAGTATTTTTAAGACTCGTTTGAAGACGAAATTAATGAGCCAACTCCTCACAATTAAAGTGGAAAGATAACCAGGTTTTATGGGGTATTTATTTAACATTTGTTCTCTAATTGGGATATAATGCTGCAAATTTAAAAACTGAGATATTTTTCTTGAAAATTCTGTGAATTGTGATATTTTTATGGATTTTTTCAAAAGAAAAAGGAAGCAATATATATATGATCTGGAACTGGAAGGAAGGAAGATGTAGATATTTTATTTATTTAGATTATATATACATATATGACGTGTTATGTTTTGAAATCTCACAATCTCTAATTATTAAATGTTTTTTTTCCATTTTAAGCTAATTTGGTATTACAAATATTGAGGATAAATTAAATAAAATAATCGATGAAAACTAATTCCAATTCGCTATGTATTTTGATTCCGAAAATCTATGATTTTATTAACTCAAATATCTCCATTTTGAGATGCCTAATATATATTTTTAAATGCTATATATTGAAATCCAAAACATTGTATACATTTTGATAAAACCTATTTTATACATACGATGAAAAAGAAATTATAAAGATTATCATGACATATGAACTAATTTATTTAAAATGTCTACTCGGTAATCACATGGTTCATACGAGCTTTTGATATATATCCTTCCCAATTCGGGTTCGAGTCTTTACTTGGAAAGCAATATTCATATGAATTTTTTCGATCCTTTGGGAGATATAGTTAGGTAAAGACTCGATGAATTTTTGGATTATAAAAAAAAATTGGATAAATGTTGTAATGTAATTATTAATCCACAAAAAAAATACAAAGACGCTAATTTCATTGAAAGACTAGTTAAAGAATTGAATCAAGTTATTTGGTTTTCCCTGTACCAAATTGCTCAAACGGACATGAAAAAGTCGAGAAGTGAAGTGTTTTCTTCTTCAATATGTGTGTATATATATGTGTGTGTATGATATTGCAATTTCCTGTGTCGTGGGAACAGACGGTCCGGACAACAAGACTTGGGAGGATGCGTAACTTGAAAAACAAGACAACGACAAAAATCGTCCCAGAAAAGTTATGTTCTTATAAATATTGAAAAATCTTAATACTATAGTAACATATCAGTATTCTATCTGGTAAGTCAACATTTTAACTATATTTGATACGTTATTATCTATATATCACGATATCGTTGTATCACGTCATGGTATAAAAATGATAATTTTATAAAGTTTAAATTTATTTATAATTTTAAAATTGAGTTGAGATTTTATAAGAGGCAAGCTTACAACATAATTCCCTTAACCACATATCAAGTTTCCAATTAAGATACGAATAATAATGAATTATCTAGATTTCATATATCAAATATATTATATGACTTGCATTATATTTTAACGGTATATATATATATATATATATATAACGTCAAAGTTAGTGGAAGCGTGCTTAGCGTGAGAGATTCGCCACCACTGCTGGCAAGCTTTTTAGTTTTAGCCCAGAAATTGTTTTGTCTCTTTTTCTTTCTTTCTTTTTTTTATAATTAGCTTTTTGTTTTTGAATAATGGAATATCTATACAGCATTCTTTTATTTTTAAAATTTTTTGTGAGGTAGTGAAATAAATGTGTCCAATAATGGTTTGGGTTGTCTCGTTTAGCTTTAGTAGCATATAATTTATTCATATGCAATGCAATAATATTAATTAAGTTTTTTTTCCCAAATGAATATAATTAGGGGGTTTCAATCAAATAACAAATAATTAATTGTATCCAAATTAAAGCATGTTATATCCATTAGATATCATCTTTAAAAATAAATTAATTAAATTCGATTAGAAATGTACAAAGCTATTGAAAATAAAATCTATTAAAAAAGAAAATAATTATAAACTATGATAAATATACTAATTAAATATACAAATTTTGCATTAAATCTACAAATATTAAAAAAAACAAAATATCATTGTTTTCAATAATGAAATGATATATATAAATAACGAGAAATCACAAAGGTTTGATAAAATTAAACTATTTTATCATAAATATTAAACAATTTTATCTCGGGGGTTTTACCAAAAAAAAAATATCTCGGATTTATAGGACGTTAAAATTGATAAATGTTTTGTTTTAAAACATTTGCCTCATAATTTAGATTTGAGTTATCGATTTTTGATACATTTATACGATCAGAATGGTTTTTACTAATAAATTATTGATAGTGGAATGTCGACATATGTTTTAAAACCTTGCAATCTCCCTATTATCGATCCAACAAAATTTTAATGGATACTCGTTGAAATATTTCCCGTCTAATTGAAAAACATTGGGAATTCTAACCGTTTCGTTGGAATTAATACATTTTTCTACGGATCTCTATTGGAATAATATTTTCAATAGATATTTATTGAAAATATTTTATAATTATGAAAGTTTCAAACCGATATCTATTGAAAACGTCTATAAATAGATAATCCACGACTCATTATTCTCATTATTATTTCATTGTGGTTAAGTGTGAAAAAACTCAAAGGAAAAAAAATCTCTATCAAACAAAAGACTAAAATGGTAATTTTTTTGGTAATTTTATTTTATAAATGTTTTATTGTTGTTTAATTATTTTTTCTGCATCTCATTTACCTTATGAAAATATCAATGTAATATTCTATAACTCGGACAGGTGACAATTCTGTGACATGTTGTTACCTTCATACCACAAACTGTTGATACCTTAAGGATGCAATTTTTTTTCTATATAATTATATTTACAAATTAAATACCATTGTCAGGAAATCGATGGGTTAAGATCAAAACGGTAATTCACTCAAAATTGATTCCCTCTTAAAATTGATTTTATCGTAAAAAAAGTAACTATAAGATTATAAATTCTACCAATTTCTTTTGCCTAACATGCATATAAAAGTTTGGTATTTGAAGGTATTTTGGAAAAAATTTAGTAAAATTAGTTTAAATTTGTTTAGCTTGAAAAACTGTAGAACTCAAAGATTTTGAAAAGCGTAGCGCACCTCAATAAGATTCATTATAAATGTTAACAACATTAATATATTTCCAAAAAAAATTTAAAATGTTGCACTATTTCTACTTAATTTATAGTATTTTATTTATTGTATTTTGATTTTTGTGTGTGAATAAACAAGTAACATATCGGACCCCTTTTCGTCGAAACCAGAAAGAAATGGGTTTCCTTCCCCTCTTCTATTGCCGTAGATACTTTAGTCTTTCCTTCACGCCAAGAACAAAATTAAAATAAAATAAAATTACATTCATTAGGATATTAATTGCTCTTAGATATTTATTATTTTAGTCTTTCCTTCACGCCAAGAAAATAAAATTACATTCATTAGAATATTAATTGCTCTTAGATTTTATTTTTATTGCAAAAAAAAATTGTCTAGACGTAAACAGGAAATAATGAAAAAATGACAAAAGAATTTTAAAAGCTACGCGTTTGTTACATTTTATCATGGTTTGAGGGCACTTCCAACTTTTTAAAGTTCACTTTTTTTTTTTGTTGCTATAATTACAAATCATGGTTGTAACCTCAGTTTGACCCATCTCATTAATTTTTTGTTGCCTTGCAATAAGTATAGTTCATTTTCCAACCAATTATGTGAACATTAATTAGCAGCTGAACTGTTGTTCATTTATTTTTGTTGCAAAGCTCATTAAATGCCTTTGATAGTATCGACTGATTATTTCTTCAAATATTTATTATTTTCATAATCTTATAAACCCATAAAAAAAAAATCAAAATAATTCCATTTACTTCGCAAAAAAATACCCAAAAAGAAAAAAAAAAGTTATGAAAAAGAAAAAGAATAATAAGAAGATTTTTTTTGGGACAATTTGAGGGGTTTGTTTTTTCAGCAAGGGCTTTGGTCTCCGTCACACTCGAAGAGCTTAGGAGCGAGTTCGGCTCGGCAAACGGGACAAACAGTGTGGTCGGTGAGCCACGTGTCCGCACAGTATTGGTGGAATCCATGGTTGCAGCCGGGAACCAGCCTCGCCGGTTGCCCACTCTCGATATCGTCCAAACAAACCGCACACTCCGTCGATCTCCCCACCATTGCCAGCTCTTTTCCTGTGAGTTTAGGAATCTTCTCGAGCTCCGACACCGACAGTCCCTTACCGGTCACTGGCTTAACCGGTTCCGGGAAATACGACGGCGCGTAGCTTTGACGACGGCGCGTGGAGTACCACAGGAGACAGAGGTAGATGACGAAGACGACGCTCATGGCGACGCAGGGGAGGAGGAGCGCCATGAAGAGGGAAGCTATCATTTTCCCTCCGCCGGCGGTGGAGGCAGGGGAGACGGCGGAGGAGGGCGGTGGAGATGGCGCGAAAACGGAAAGGAAGTGTGCGTGGTGCGCACTAAGGCGCATGTTAGAGCCCTCTCTTTCTCTCTCTCTCTCTCTCTCTCTCTCTTGCTTTACTTTGTAAAAGCGAGAAGAATGGTTTCTTTTTTTTTTCTTTCGCAGCAGAGGAAACGTCTAAATATTTTGCAGTGAAAATGGGACAATGGAGTTAGCGGCTATATATATATATATACACACACACATACAGGGGAGAGGACCCAACAGAGCCAAATATCGGAGGCTATTAATTATATATATATATATATATATATATATTTCAGTATTGGCTATTATTATGATTTAACTATTGGACCGAGGTCTCGCACATTTCGTGACTAACAAAAATCTGATTCCAAGTGGCTTTATTTTTATTTTTCCCTTTTGCCGATTGGTTTAAACTTAACCGTTGAATCTGACGGCTGTAATTAAATCATCAGATTTCGGGGTCTGTATTATTGTTTAGGAATTGTTTTCATGTAAATTAATGAACTATATTAAATCATAGAAACATAATTTTGACATCGCTAAAAAATACAGTTTTTTAAAAAAATTATCCAATAAATAAATATTTTACACGATTTTGAAACTGACAAGGTATACCGGAAAAAAAAGACGTTATCAGATCATATCAGCATTAATTGAAAAAAAAATGCTATCATAGTTTATGAATTTAAAGGATATTTTTTTCCTTTTTAACGGTAAATAAATATAAAAAAAAGGCGTATTAAATAATGTTGTTGTGGTATGGTCGGATGTGTTTTGGACCGGTGAAAATGGAATTTCAAAGTTGTGGGCCTTTTGCTTTTTATTGGTGGTGAAAAGCTCGTGACTTTGCTTTTTAGACCAAAAGCATTTTCTTTTCATAAATAACAAAAACACCTCAAGATTTTAGACATAATACCTTATTAGGGTTTTTTTTATTTACACAGGATCTATAACTATTATTCATCTATATATATATTATACACTATTATAAACATTTAATTATTATATTAAAATTTATATGAAAATATTACAGGTCTATTATCAGTTGTATTAAAGGAAGTGCGCTCGTACTCATTCGTTCTAATGAGAGAAAAAAAAGAAGCAATCATTTGATAAAGAAGCGATTGAGCTTTGTATTGGATAATATATATTATTAAGATGGATTTTATCCAACAAAGGAGATAAGGACTGAAAATGCATTATGGTGGAATATATAAATTAATAGAGATTAATGTTATCTGTTCAATCAGTTCAATTAATAAATGAATAAGGAATTGAATCTGATTAAGGTGGCTGTTTCCATTCTTTATGTTCAATTATAAATAAGATTATGTAATCAATTATTATTTTTGTTAATGTTAGATTACTAATACTATTTGGTGTGAGGAGTCGTAAATTTTTCTTTTGTCAGAGACCAATCACGACTAGTAATTTAAAATTAGATTTTAGGCCTATTATCACGTGGAATGAGCCTATTGGATTACACACACAAATATATATATATATATATATATATATATATATGGGTACAAATTTAGAAAATACTATAAAATACACGAAATACATGGATTATTTGTGAAATAACCAATTATAGGCATATGATTTGTATTAGGCAAAACATCGGCTAAACCAAAAAAAAAACAATTCGTGACGGAATGTGACAATACAAAAACATTCGATACAGCGTTTTTTTCCGTCATAATTGTTTTTTAGTTTTAAAAAGTCTAAAAAATAGATATTTAATTTTTTTTATATATTACATTTTACACGTACATACATAAAAACACATATACAAACGCTATACACATATACATTCACAGGCACATACCCATTCATATACGCACATACACAATAATACATACACATTCACATACACATAGATGTATACATGTACCACACAAATTTCAAAATACATGGCATGTTGTGACGGTAAAATAAATATTTGAGGCGGACGATTCGCTTGTCATCTCAAATTTCAAAAATTTTATCGCCAATCATATGCCTATTGTTGCGAGGAATAATTTCGACTTTTTGCGACACAAACTTTTTTTTTCAACATTTAGGGGTGTAAAATGGGTGAACCGAGTCGGATTCGGATCATGTTTAGATCGAACTTAGATTTTTTGGGTCGGACTGGCACGCCCATTTATTTTCTAGGTCTATGATCGGTGGTAGAAGCTCGGCCCTATAGAGCTTTCGGACGGGTTTGGGTTGGATTTCAGGTTTTTCTATTTAATAAAAACTAAATATTAATGTATAATAATAATAATAATGTTGAGTTATTAGTAATTTTTTTTAAAAAAAATCAGTAATAACAAATCTTCATCTATATCAATTACAATTAAAAACTTTTAAATCTAAAAATTAATCATGTAAATTTTAAAATATATAAAATTTCTAATATTTTAATATATATATAATATATAAAAAAATATGTTTGTACAATAAAAATATAAAAAAAAATATTGAGATAAAACTTAAAAATCAAAGTTAAACTCATAATATATATATATAAACCAAAATCTAATCAAATCGTGCAATAATATATATATGTATATATATATATATAACATATAAATAAAAGATTTTACGTAATGTTGTATGACATCAGCTCTCGATTGAAAGTAAAAATATAATATTTTTTAGGCTAAATAGGTGGGTTAGACGGATTTTGGACCAGACTCGATTTGAACCTGAATTTTTTCGGATCGGACCGACCCACCTATTTATTTATCGGGCCTATATTATTAGATCCAAACCCTTAATTTTTCAGACAGATTTCGGATTTCGGATTCTATTGACACCCTACCCACGTTATATCGTGAAACTATCACATTCCTCTGCAATTTGTATGCGACCGTTTTGTAATGAGGATACATACTTTTAGGTATCTTATATGTATCCGATACATATTGGGAAATATATACTGGGATTTGAAATGACTTAAGATTCCTAAATTTCTAGGTTTAAGGAATATATATATATATGTATATATATATATATATATATTGAATTATAAAGTGTGAACCGTCACAGTTGAGAAAGAAAAATATCGATTCCTATTTTTTTTTTAAAACTATAAATGTTGCATCTCAATTAGTCCATAGTTTACACAGTGGGACACATTAGTATCCCAAACTATATTTGGATTAATTAATTGAGACGTAAGATCTATAGATTTCAGTATTATAGTTATAAAAATTTTAATTGTTAATTTTACTACGTACACATTAATCTCAAACCTTATATAAAAAAAAAAACTCTCGGTTGGTTTTGATCAAAACTCTATCCAAACCTTAGTTTTTCTCAGCAATATATGCATATTTTATTTTGTTAATACAAACAGACATTTAAAAGCTTGAGATCTCGTTTTTTTTTATATATATAATACCCTCCATATAAAAAAACATCGTAATTTAACCAAATAAATTAGCAAATATATTTATATCTTACTTATTTACGTATCTTTTTTTTACTACTAAGAATTAGCTCTTTAAATTCTGTTTATACATCTGTAAGGTCGAATTTCAAGTCAATGCATGCGTCTATAAAGTTTTTTTTTTTTATAATAAATTTGTCAACTTTTGAATATCTATTTTAAACATTAAATCTTATAATTGTTTAAATATTTATAATACCTGTAAAACTGTATACACTTTTATTTTGAAAATAAAATGTATGCACATTCAATTTTTATGCTGAAATTTAATTCTATGTTTCACTAAACAAACCTATTTTTATTTTTATTTTTATCACATTTAGAATCGATTTAAATTCTATTTGAATTTGAAAATTTGATTTGAATAAAATAGAATTCTATCAGCCTTTAGATAAAATGTAGTTTAGATATGATTATATATTTGTCTATTTTATTTTATATATCCTTGTAAATGATCATATATAATAAATATTTTCATCTTTATAAACAAAAATTCAGATATTCACATTCCAAAATAAAATAACCGCTAAGATGCCCTTTTCATGGATAGTAAAAACTCCAAAAGGGTTAGTTAGCGTAATTAGTCAGATTTGAGAATGAAATAAACCGGTTAGTTTTTTAAACCGGGTGAAACCGGTTCGAAAGGACCCGGTTAGGGTAGTTAAGAGCAGCGGTACAGTATTTATACCCCCAACACGGCTTTAGGGCTTAAAAAGGAGCAACAACCAAACAGAAGCCGTTAAGAGGGAGAGGAGAGCTGCTTTTGCTTTTGCTTATTTATCTATTTTTTTCAACGAAGAAAAAAAAAACTAATCCCTCCGAGAAAAAAAAAAGTCCGTACGAATCCTTAAATCTCATTTCGCTCGATTTCGAATTCCCTAGTTCCCGAGTTTCATATTGTTCGTGTGTGTTTTTTGGGTTTTGAATTCGTGAACTTTGTATGTGGTTTTGATTTAGATGTGTTTTTCAAATGCGTAGATGGATCGGTACCAGAGAGTGGAGAAGCCGAAGGCGGAGACGCCGATTGATGAGAACGAGATTCGGATTACAAGTCAGGGGCGTATGCGCAACTACATCACTTACGCCATGAATCTGCTTCAGGTTCTTCTCTTTTGAATTCCTTTTTTTTTTCGTTATGGCTTTCGTGTGAATTAGATTGAATGTTCGATGAATTTGTGAAAACTCTGTTATGTCGGGATGCTGGTCGTATTGTATTGAAAGTTTTAGGTTGTATTAGTCGAATGAATGGTAGTTTTTTCCCTTGAACAAATTGTGATTTTTTTCAAGTTCTAATTGACCTTGTGTTATGTTGCATAGATTTTTACAAATTGAGATCGATATTATTGTTGTTTGGGTGATGGGACAAAACCAGGCTTTTAGAAATCAGAGAAGATAAGGATGAAATGGTCATTGGTTTGACCAATTAAGCATTGCTTTGCTGGGTTGCTGATGTATTTGGTATCCACACGTCTTTGGATACAATAATGACATAGTAATACGGAAAACATCAACCGGCTAAATTCAAACGTGGAGTTTTTGGATTGTTCTGCTGTGTGTTTTTGGACTTTTGCACTCTCTCATGTCATGTAAAGATGGCGTGTAAACATTGCTCGAAAGGTACGGTCTTGCCGGTAATGGTGATAAATTGTTTACAGGGGAAGACTGTTCCATCGGTTTAATAGCTTGGTAAAAAGGGTCAGTGTGAAGCTGTGGTAGTAACTGGTGCTGCTTGATATATGACTTATAGGCAGTAGAATGTGTTTTATGTGTCCTGTATGTTTTATGCTGCTTCTGGTGATTTGATCTTCATCATCTGTATATAGGAAAAGGATTCGAGTGAGATTGTATTCAAGGCTATGGGTAGAGCTATCAACAAGACTGTCACTATTGTGGAACTCATCAAGGTGGTAGTTTTTTTCTGTCTGTCTAGTACGCGACATGATGGTTACATGTTAAGTATTTTGGCGGAGGTTCTAAGAGTTTATCTCTCATGTATAATGCAGAGAAGAATCCCGGATCTTCATCAGATCACCTCAATTGCCTCCACTGACATCACAGACACGTGGGAACCTTTGGAGGAAGGTCTTTTGCCGTAAGGAACCCTGTTTTATTTTTATTTTTATCTACCAGGATCACGTTTTAGCCTCTATATTCAATGCATTTGCAACAATGCTCCTATCACAGTTCTTCTTACAAAGTCTGTCTTTCGGTCATAGGTTGGAGACTACAAGGCATGTATCCATGATAACAATTACCCTCTCCAAGAAGGAACTTGACACTTCTTCTGTTGGGTAAGTTTCTTTGGTTTGCAGCTGAAACCTCCCTGGGTTAACACCACCACGATGCACTTTTTTGCTTGAACATGGAAACGTTCTTTCCTTATGCAAGAAAGATGCACACGTACACTCCCAAGATCTGTTCGGGTCACTTATTCAACTGAAATCAATTGTAAACTTCGTACCTTTGTTGTTGTTGAGTTTTCAGGTATCAGCCTCCTTTACCTGCTGAACTGGTGAAGGCATCTGAGGATGCCGATTACGAAGGTATCTGCAGATTCCTTTGAATTTGTTTATAAAATGCTAGATCTGAATCTGTATATATATACACACATGAAATACATACAGGAGAGGGAACCAGAATGGGAAACAAAAACAATTTTTTGCAGTTTCATACTAATTCTATTACTGGGTGATTTTGGAAAGTATAACTCCTGTGTTCTATTGCAGAGGGTTCTCCTAGTGGCCGTGGCCGTGGCCGGGGTCGGGGTCGGGGTCGAGGTGGGAGAGGAAGGGGAAGAGGAGGTAGAGGTATGGTTCATTCAAGTTTCGATTTTGTGCCTAGTGATTTTTACTTTATCCATCTCTTGGGATAGAACAGTTCTCTGAAGATACTTATTAGCTAACCCAGCTGTTAGAGGTGGAACACATGCCATTTTATGAATAATTTTAAATCATCTATACCTCAGTTTCCTCGGTCTAAAAATCTCACTAGCATCATTCATGACTGGATGCAATCCCTTCAACACAGGAAACACTTACAGATCTGATGAGTATGATGATGGAGGTTGGAACCAAAATCCAGCATATGGCAGGGGTAGAGGTCGTGCAAGAGGACGTGGTTTCAGTGGTCGTGGACGAGGAGGTTACAACAGACCTCAGTTTGATCCTCAACAAGATGGTTATGGTTATGATGCGCCTCCACAAGGACGAGGTAGCCTCCCCTCTTACTCACATAACACACTCAAAAAGTCACTTCTATTCCTGTTCATGCTCATCACCAATTGTTCATTCAACCTCTAAAAATCTTTATGGTTTTCTCTATCTCTTTGATATTTGACACAAGCCCTTGTTCTGCAACATAGTATTAGATCCTAAAATCTTGGGGCAGTTTTTTAGTGATTTTCCTTAGATTGGGTTCAAGCCCCGTGAGTTGTGGCAAATCCTCATTTTTCTTTAGTATTTTCCTTTCATTCCATCTGTTATTCCCATTAATTTCTGGATAGGTCCGATCAGGAACCTATCTCATAGCTGATAAGAAACCCTGTCACGATACATGATCTTATATTGCAGGGCGTGGTCGTGGGAGGGGAGGCCGAGGAAGAGGCCGTGGGTTCAGGTTGAACGGGCCTAGGCCTAACGCAGACCCAACCCAGGCAGCCACATGATGGGATGTTATCGTCTAACCACGGAAATGGCCGAAATCTCTGTGAAGGGCTTTTGGCCGTTCTGCTTTGCATAAAACGTGATTTTGGTGTGCTTTTTGAGCAAAGTCAGTCATCTTGCATCTGCTGAAGCGTTTTTTGCTCTTACTTTTTTTCTTTGAAGGGACATATGAAATCCGACCGAGTGTGGATTCCCAACACTTTACCGTACTTTCGACCTTTGTCTCTCTGTTTAATTTGAGTAGTTGAAATTCGTTTATTCATAGTGATGCTTCCATCTGTCCTGTTGGTATTTGCTTCAACGTTTTGTAATGAAAAATGTTCTTTTTGTTTTTTCTTTTGTGGGAACTAACTTGTAATCGAATGTGTCAAAGTTGTAGGTTTAGTTCAAAAATCCACGAAATTGTTACAGAAATCTTGTTTATGATCTCATTTTTAGTTTTATATTTATATTAAATAAAAGAAAAGCTTTCAAACTTAATAAAATGTGACAGATAAATATACAAATAAAAAAAATGTTTGAATTTTTAAATGCACTTGTTTTCGTTAATTTGTTTCCTATTCATGATCAAATCTGCAGAACAAGATTTTAGAACTAAAGATGGATATAGATTAGATATTAGAACCCCCAAATTTTCATTCAGGGGCTGGTAAGAAACCCTAAAACCACTCCAAATCGGATAGCTGACAAATGCCCAAACCAACTTATGAGCTCAAAATAGAATTTAGCAGAGAAATCAATAAAAGGACAACTTTTTAATACATTCATAATGGTTATTACGAAAGATGGTTATCGAAATGGAAAACAAGTCATTCAACATTCATAGCATAACATCCGACGCAGCATCTCACAACCCGTGACAGGTTGCGAGTGAGGGAGAGGGAGAAGGAGAGGGAGAGAGAATCAACACAACAGACGTAAACAGAAACAATGTGCGACGAACAAACACAGAGATTGTACTACTGAGGGTGAAGTCTTGTAGATTACTAATATGGCGGAGATAGACAATCGGGCACACCCCGTTTTTTTCTTTCGGTTTTCTCGGTTGGTCTTTCACCTTTACTCAAAGGCCCATTGGTTCTCACGGCGCACCTCCTCCTCTTCCTCCGGGGTGAAGTCGTTCTTGATGTTGAAGGTTTTGCGGATCTCCTCTGGAGTTTTACCCTTGATCATATCGGCTACGGTCTGGCAGGTCAAGTCCAGAAGGCCCTTGATGTTCAGATAGTTGGCAGCCTACAAGTTTTCGGGACATAGAAAATAGCGGGTTAGGCTTCATCTGCTCACAACAACATTGAAACATAGGTTTACAGGTTTCAGATTCAGAATCGAGCTCAAACTCAAGCAAAACATATAGTGAAACAAGCAACCCTCACAAGTATTAGATGTAAAGTCCAAACAAGAACACATCATCAGATAACACTAGCTTTTTCATGGTTTCAGTTTAACCACCACAGACCAAAATCTTTTCTTCCTGTCAAAGAAGAAAATAACAAATCCAATGAACATACACATCCCTTCTCTATGAATGAAAAACTGGCCATCAAACTTTAGTTCACAGGATTACGAAAAGTTCCATTTTGATGACAGTTCAAACAAATTTAAGACACCATCTTGAATCAGACCACGGATCACCCATGGTGCAAACAATACTGTACCTGCAGGCTTAAATAACTCAATAAGCGAATCAGTTTCTCATTCAACTTTACAGTAAATCAATCGCTAAATGAATTCAATCACCGAAACAGATCTCCCCCAAATGAACTTTGCAATCAATCAGAACACCAAAAAGGAACCCTAAAATCATGCACCCCGGTGCCACAGAACCCTAACAATTTTATCCCACATCCTTACACCTGGGAACCGTAAAATTAGCCCTGAAATCCGAAATCAATATCGCGAAACCCTAACCCTTAATTCTACATCCGAATACCACTGACCCACAAGAAATCAGCCCTAAATTCAACATCGACACCACAGAGAACCCTAAAATTAAGCCCGAAATCCGAAACCCTAAAGCGATAGAATAAGCGACGCCGAATCAAGAAATACCGAAGGAGAAATCAGATCAAGGGATAAAAACTAAAAATCGGAGGCAAAACAACGTAGAGAGCACAGACCAAGATGAGATCGAAGAGGGTAGCCTGGTCCACTTTGACGAACTCGGCGTCCCAGTTCTTCATAACGTCTTCTTCGGCGGCGGCGGCGGCTTCGGACTTAGCGGCGGCGTCGACGTGCTTCTTGCAGTATTCGATGACCTTCGAGAGGATCTTGCTGGTGACGTTAGGGAGAGGGATTCCATTGTCGGCGCAGTCGTCTTCGATCATGTGCTTGATGGTTTGCGACTCCAAAGCGACGGCTTCATCGACCTCAAAGGTCTCGCCATCGGAGCTCTTCAGCGTGATTTTTCTTCCCGACATGGTCTTTTGATCCACAGAGATTACGAAGAGGAGAGGAATCGATCGAGATCGAGATCGAGAGAGGGAGAGAGAAACCGGTGATGTGAATACCGTATTTTACTTAGATGTATATTTATAAAGTGATGTTTCACATCATACACATTTACTTTTCTTTTTTTCTTTCCTTTTTTGGCTATACGTTTTTAATTGTTCTTGCTTGTTTTCCTTTCCGCGCATCTTAATAAAAAAAAAAGAACAGTAATTTTTTCCAAAATTAACAATTTTATAAAAAAAAATATTATAATAGAAATTAAAGTTGTTTTCAGATTTTTCTAACAAAATAATCATTTATTTAGATAATATCGTAATTACGATCAAATAAATAAATCATATTATTTGTTCAGAAAAGATCGGAATTCAAAACACTTGACAACCAGATAAAATTGAAACAGATGGAGAATATCCAACGAAAGATATGGTTTGTTTCCAAATGAAATGGATTTCTTTCCATGGAGATGCTATGATAGAAACATCCCAACTGGTGATAAGAGTTTTGGAGCATTTGAATCTTGCCTTGACAACTTTTTTCCCTAAGATTTTGTTTCTTAAGTGAGTTTCATGTGCCAAAAGTATTAGAACCAAAACCAAACAAAAAAATCCTATAAACTATGTTAGATTTACGCTTTTGGGATCTTTAGAAAAATGGAGGAATTAATAGGAACCACAGACGCAACCCGATGGTCGAGGAGGAGAGAGAGAGAGAGGCTGATTCACATTAGGACAGAAAAAAGATATTTAGATAACCTAATACGGATGGCCAAAAAACACAGAGAATTTCTAAAATTTATTTTAATTAACCATTTATAAAAAAAAAAAACACAGAGAATTGAAATGGAAAAAATATAAATGACATGCCAAGGAGAGTAGAAAGGCGGATAGCTGACGCCAAACGGATGGTGCGGAACAGCTTATTATCATTGCAAGTTACTGACAGGTATGGCGATAAACAAAAAAGAAAATTCTAATGGTATTTTTGTACGTTGTTCTCACGTTTTCGGTGGAGCCAAATCTCTTTGGTTAAGAAGAACCCAGGAGTTTTAAAGACTCAATTATCTACCACATGATCGATGTGGGACTCTAACATTCTTCTTTTTCGTTTTAAGAATGGGCAGATGAAAGAAAAGACCAATAACCTAACAAGGAGAGAGGAGAGCTGGGAAGGATGATGGCAAGTTGCTAATTATCCTCAGTTTTAACATGACTAAAAAACTCTCTTATAAAGGCTCAGATCATAGAATCCCATTCCATTCATCACTGGTTGCTTCATATATCTCAGCCTTTTGAAGCCCAAGGCTCATTCTACTCTACTTACCTCAGGGGAGGGCTTCTGGATTTACTGGCAAAACGTTAGCAGCTTTTTCTTCTTTGCATGCCATTCATGCATTCCTCCATGTCTTCTTGCTGTTCAGACTAATACAAAGACAAGGAAACAGATTATGCCGCTGATTAAAATGCATCACATATCGACAGTTTCCTCGGGAAGAATCCTTTTACCTGTATGGCTAAGGGGATGAAGCTAGAACTCGAAAAATCTTTGACGCACAAAGTTTGAATCGGTGTTAAAGGAGTTGCTAGAGAAGGTGAGTCAACGGTGATGGGATGGCCACTGGTTATTCTACAATCTGGAACTGAACTCTTCAATCTACAGTCCCAGCAATCCGAACCAACAAAACATCCGACTGCTATGCAAAGAATCCTCTGGAAATTAAGATTTAGGGCAAACCTTGAGATGGTTATAGTGACCAGTGAGACCGAAGCATGAGTCCAACTGTTCTTCCGTTTCCATTTGTGAGGTAAACGAGACCTGGGTTCAAGCTGAACCGATTGTTTATGTTCAACTTCAGATATGATTCCACCTGAAACTGATCCTGATTTCTTGGTCCATCAATGATTCCTCCTACGCTCATTCCCCATCCCACTTCATCCTCTGAGTTATCTGACACAGACATTGCCCACTTTATGTGTTTTGGGTTCGAGTTCTGAATCTCAATCCATCCCCCAAGTCTTGTGAACTCATCCAGTTCAGAATCTAGCTTCAGAGCGATGGAACCGGACGATACCCAACTCATGTTGTTCATCTCCAGAGGTGGTGCTGATGGTTCCGTTGTTGATTCTGGAGCAGACTGGCGCCTTAGGAAACCTACTGGAATTGCAACTGCTCCAAAAGGATGGCGGTTATTTGATGGTTTTAAAACCCGATGACAACCCATAAGAGACAGTTTTACCCCTCTTGGAATGTGGCAGACGACCCTCCCAAATGTGCTGAAGCAATGACCGATTGCATCAAAACCTGGTTCAAGTTCATGGTTTGAGATGGACTGTGCCAGTGAGGCTGTAATGTTTGATTTTCTTACAGTTAACCCCAGGGCACTGCCATTATGTTGATTCAAAAGAGGAGGTCCAAGTGCAGAAACCTCTGTGAGACACATCCCCTGCATCATGGAGAGATTGTATTCTTAGCTCGATCAATAATGACAATTTAAAGAAAACCAAATGACCTGAGAAAGAAAACATGAAATGATTACATGGAACTGGGAATGATATAACTAAGCAAAAAGGGGACCAAAGAAAAGGAAGACTCGGTACTTCTCAAGTTCCGTATAATTTCAGAACCTTGGAGGTTGCTTAGAAATCAAGTGATTACTCACAACGTTACCATGTTTATGGCAAGTAAAAGGGAAACAAAACCTGCTTGCTTGTAAAATTTCAGGTCATGAAGCATTTTGAGTACGTGCTACAGATCATCCAAGCAAATTAGAATATCCAACGAAAACACATCCAGAATAGATATGAATTCACCAGAAGCAACGGATACCTGATGAGAAGACGGTGTTGCAGCATCAATGTCTCTGAAACGAGCACCAACAAGAATTGCAACAGCAGAAAACCAATCACTAATCTCCGACTCATAGAAGACTTTGGCCAAAGAAAGTTGGTTACCAGGGACAACCCTGCTATGTCTTTCCCCTTTGTGATTGGTGACTAGCTCGGCCACAAGGCTATCTTTCTCCCTAAGGTTCGTTTCAAATGTGAACCTAGAAAGCAATCCGGGTTCCACTCCTGCTTTATCAAGCACATCGAAATTACCCTCATCAATGTTTCCCATCAAGAATATGGCTCCGAGCACATCAATGTCAGCCCTCACTCGGGTACTAGCCTCCACAAATGGACCTCCCTTAGATGACTTATACAAGGAAATTATCCTCTCCACCTTATCCTGCCTATCCCTAAGTTTCATCAGATCTGAGAATGCTTCTCTTTGTAATCGCTTCAAGATCTCAATCTGAACATGACATCAGAACAAGAAAGAATCACTAATCACAACAAAAACAACTTGCCTAAGCCATATAACCACAATTCATGCGTAATGTTCATGAAATAAATGTTGAAATTTCCAGTTCAGAAGAAATGACAATCGTTGAACAGCGACAGCACCAGTTGTGTTACCAAATTCTAATTCCATTACCACCTTGATAGTCTCACAAATCGCCTCCAATTCGCCAAATAATGAACCAGGGACTTCGAATCAATACACCGAAAATACCAATCAAGGACAAAAAATTTAAAGGCATTCCATAAACGGCGATGAAGTTACCGGATTCCGGCGAGACGGACTCTTATGGAGGCCAAAGAGGCTGGAGACGAAATCCTGGCCTGATTTCGCGAAGTCCTTCGCTCTCTCCATTGCTGACGCCAGAGGATCCATTCTCTCTGCGACCAAAAAGGCGACTGAGAATATCCTCGAAATTTTCCAACAAATGCGAAACTCAGATTTCACGTTACTCGAACAGAAACTCAAGGGATCACGCAAATCAATATTACAGAGAGAACCGAAAACTTCTCCAAATCTGCCAAAGCAAAGACAGAATCCAAAAAATCCAGAACGCAGAGTGAAGAGACCATATGGAGCTCACCTTGAAGTTCCGAACTGAGAAACCAAAAAGACCACAAGAATGCCGGACGATAATTGCAGAAATCGCCGGCAAGAGGAAGATAATCTGGCGAGAGGGAAAAAACACAGAATGGGCCAAGGGAAGTTCGAACTGTTGATCTGATAAACCTCGTGGCTAATCTAATAATTTTCAATCTAAGCCTTATGTTTAATGAAAATTACAAACCGACCCGATATTTTCTCATCACACTGCACATACCCGAAGTAATATTTTTTTGGAAATTTTAAAGATCGTTTATTTATGGGAAAAAACCCTAAAAATTCTTAAACTTGTATTTTGGAATAATATTAATTTCTAAACTTGTAGAAGTGCCTATTAATTCCCAAACTTACAAAATTGAACACGTTAAATCCTAAACTTGTTAAACGGTTCCATATTCGTCCATAGCGTTATTTGGTCTAAAAAACGAGTTGACCGATCCGACATGGCGAGCCACGTGGCGAGCCACGTCGGATCGGTCATGCGAGAAGGAACTCGTGCAAACCAACAAACAGTATAATCTGCAATAGAACAAAGGAAGCCTACCATGGTTGAAGCTTGTAGGCCAGCATCGCCAAGACTACTGAAGAACGACACGATCGCAGCCTGAAGAAGTGGCACACTGGAAAATAAATGCAAACACAAGAACTCAATCTCTCAGGTAAAACAAGTAAAGTGAATCTATTCAAATGTCCAATTCACCAAATCCAAATCCTTGTCCAAATATCATATACGTTGTCATGCTCAACAGGAACACATAATCAGAGTATTCCAGCATTTCCCAATTTCCAATTGAATTAACAAAACATTTAATCAACGGTTCGTTCTTATCCAAAAACCTATTTATTTATTTATTTGTTTTGTTTTTATTCATATAAAGCTTTAATTTAATTATTATTTACTTTGTTTTGTTTTGGCAAATTGGTTCTCATTTCTGGGTCAATGCTAAATTGTATTCAAATAATTTTTTTTGTTCTTTTTACTCTTCCTAACGAGATTAAAAATCATATTAAATCTCATATAATTTCTAGGATAAATGAATATTTATTCAAAAGAACAGTTCATAATTTTATTTTCATCTATAAACTGAGAAAAAAGAAATACAAGTGGAAAAAATATTCATTTGAATGTTGACACTTTTTTTTTGCAATGTTATTAGTTTCTACTGGAAAAATATTTTTAAAAAATTCATGTCTTAATTAAGCATATAAGTTTGGTGGGTCCACGTTATTTACCCCCTTTCATTTTTTCCAATAAAGGGAAAAAACCCTAAAAATTCCTGAACTTGTATTTTGGAGTAATATTAATTCCTAAACTTGTAGAGGTGCCTATTAATTTGACCGATCCGACGTGGCACGTGACGTGGCGAGCCACGTCGGATCGGTCAACTCGTTTTTTTTTACCAAATAACGCTATGGACGAATATGGAACCGTTTAACAAGTTCAGGATTTAACGTGTTCAATTTTGCAAATTTGGGAATTAATAGACACCTCTACAAGTTTAGAAATTAATATTACTCCAAAATACAAGTTCAGAAATTTTTAGGGTTTTTTCCCTTTATTTATTTAGAATTTTTTTTATAAATTTGTGTATTAACATGACATTTTTTTTATAGGCATGTTGATATCGAATACCAAATTTACAAAAGATAAATGGATATAGTTTTATTCGAAATTCGAAATGTATCGTCTAGTTGGGCTGGACACAAATATCCGAAAATCGGGTATCAGTCGGATACTCGTCTCGTATATACCCTATTGTACTCGTAATTTTCAAATCGAAATTCAAATCCTGATTTTTTAATACCCATGAATCCGAATATAAATATGGGTAATAAAATTTTTAAACTGGGTATCCGTGGATATCCGACTAATATGATTTATAAATATAATTATATCTTAAGTTAAATAATTTCATATTTTTTAATATTATCTAAAAAACTAAATCTATTAATATTTATTTCTTATTATTTCTTTTTATCTCATATTTTTATCATAATTCATCGAGTTTTATAAATATATTTTTATTTTTTGAAAATTTTATATATAAATATTGATATTTTTTCTAAATAAATTCGGATATCCGTGAATATCCGCATATTATTCCGGATACTCATATCCTGAATATTCGTAAACCCCAAATATCAGATACAAATCTTATAATTAAATATCCGAATATTTTGGTTTCAAATCCAAATACCACGATTTCTCTGGATATGCGGTTACCCACCCACCCTATGGCCTTGTAGCGATGGTCTTCAATTTTATGTTATAGAGACATAATGCACAACTTTGGACAAAAATTCTTTTAAGCTCTCAGCCAAATTCTTTTGAGATCCATTATCATATTTTATAAGTAGGTTGGATCGAATAATATATAACCATAATCAATCATAATCAATTTAAACCAGATTAAAAACTAAATAACTATTTTTCTAAAATAAAAAAAAATTGAACTCAAACCAAAACCAAACCTAATTTTTAATGAAATATCGATTTCCCCAACTCCGAAATTATTTGGGATTTTTCGAATTTGTTTGAATGAATATTTTTGTCAATGAAACCCAAAACCCAACGAAAGAAAACCGAATCAAAACTACCCGAATTCAATATAAGAACCGAACAGTTAACCGAAATAAAATCCGAACAAACCACCTCTAGTGGCTGACATGTTCTGATGTTCACACTGAGATACGCCATACATTCTTATTATGGGTTCTGTTCTGAAAGCTCAACCCTCGGAGAGGATTTCTCTTTAAAGTTTCCTATCCTCAGTTCTGTTTAACCTCACCACAATCTTCAATGACAACTGTCTGGGTAGTTCTTCCGCTGTCCGACCCGACCTTCTCCATCTCCTTCACGATGCCATACCCGTCAACGACTTTTCCAAACACCACGTGTTTCCCGTTCAGCCACGATGTTTCCTCTGTACAGATGAAGAACTGAGACCCATTCGTGTTGGCACCTGCATTGGCCATCGACAGAATTCCTGGACCCGTGTGCTTCAACTTGAAATTCTCATCATCAAATCTATCCCCGTAGATTGATTCTCCTCCTGTTCCATTTCCACGAGTGAAATCCCCACCTTGGCACATGAAGCCCGGGATTATACGGTGAAAGGCTGAGCCTTTGTAGTGCAGTGGCTTCCCGGCTCTCCCGATGCCCTTCTCCCCAGTGCACAGAGCACGGAAGTTTTCCGCTGTTTTCGGGGTTACATCAGCAAAAAGCTCCATTACCACCCGACCCGCCTTCATTTTTCCAATCAGGATGTCAAAGAAGACTCTCGGGTTCGACATTTTACTCGGTTACACTGCACAACCAAATCATGTTCAAAACAAAATCAGGCTGAGCAGGTAAAAAATTAACACAATACAGTCTGCAATACACTCAAAACAACTAAAAACTGACAAGCCCATCATCAAGAAGCTTTTAACAAAAGAAATTCCAGAGTCAAATAAGAGAAACCGGCATAGAAATCATAAACAGAGACTGGGATTCAAATTCAACTCTTTTCAATGAAATCTCCCATATTCATTCATTCTTCTTCTTCCTGTATTTGCAAACAAAAACACATTTGCTGGACTCAGGCTTACAAGATGCTTAAGCTGTTCAGTTGGGTAAAGAAAGAAGATATTATCAACAACTATACATAGTCACACACCAACCTCCATAGATTTTCGTCAAACTTAATCATAAAAGAGAAAAAAAATGTTCCATCCTATGGAAAGAAAAACCCTCGAGATATTTTCATCGTTACAAGAGAGTTATAAATGACATGTAGGATGACTCATGATCTTGCACAGTTTTTGAGCTCACAGGCATAATTCTAAATCGTCACCTGCAAACCTTCGATATGTGCTTTATATACAAAACGAGAAGAAGAAAAAAACAAATAAACGAAAGAGAGGTTGATCCGTTTAGGGTTTGATAAATTCATCAATAATATGAAATGGGTTCCGGGAAATGAAGCACCTTTACACCAGAAATTCGCGATTCTGACGAATCTGAAGAAACTTCGGTTCCACCTTGACGACAGCGGCAATATAAGAAAAACCTAAGCAAAGGGGAATGGGGAATTTTAGGGTTTGGCAAGGGTTTGGGCCGGCGATTATGGGTTATTTTTGTCATAGACCCTCCATTATTTTGTGTTATTACATATCCAGGCTTTCATTCTCGAAATTTCTATTAAACCCAATATATATAAGAGTTCATTTTCAAACGCTAAAAAATCGAAACTTTTTAAAAATTAGGCAAAAACCTTCGATGTCTGTCAACTCAAACAAAAATGATGATGTGACAATGATATAGCTTCCAAATTATATCATCATAATTACATCATATATCATCATTTCAAATAAAATTTAAATTAAAAAATTTATTTAAATTAATATATACATACAAATTCATATATATATATATATTAAATATAAAATTACTTATAACTAATAAAATACATATACACATATCTACAATAAATATAAATATATATATATATATTACAAATTATATTATAAATGATATATATATTATTTTTAATATATATTGTATATATATTAGTTATAGGTACTTTAAATTTTAATATGCATATTAATTAGTTGTATATGTATATTTTGTATGTATAACTAGTATATATATATACATATTATTTTTAATATATATTATATATATATGTGTTAGTTATAATTATTTTTATTTTAATATGTATATTATGTATGTATATAAAATTAACTATAATTACTTTTATTTTAATATATTTATGTATTAGTTATAATATAGATATATTGTATTTATGTGTATGTGTGTTGTATTAGTTACAAATAATTTTATTTTTAATTATATATATATGTACATATAAATTTGTATGTATATACATTAATTTAAATAAATGATTTAATTTAAATTTTGTTTGAAATGATGATGTGCATAATTATGATGATGCGTGAATGATTTGGAAGCCATGTCATTGCCATATCATCATTTTTGTTTGAATTGGCAGATGCAGAGGGTTTTCAGTGAATTTTTAAAAAGTTCAGAATTTTATCGGTTAATCACATTACGTACAGAGTTTAATTGATAAGCAAAAAAATACAGGATTTTTTCGTTTGTAAAATTTTTTTAACCAACTTTCCTAATAAATATGTCAAAAATACCTTAATTTGTTATTCTTACAACGCCAACCAATTACCCTTTTCAAACTCTAGTTTTCTAAAAAAATTATATAAATGAGATTTTTATCTTTTTTATCAAAATACGGAGAAACGAAATAAAATGAGTTATAACTTTTGCCTATCCCATATACAATTCAAAAAATTCAAAAAAAATAGGGAGAAACGAAATAAAATCACTGATTTAACCAAGAGGTTTTATAAAATTAGTTATAACTTTTAAATTTCAAAATTTTGAAAAACAAAATAAAGAAAAAGACTAAAAAAAGAGAGGGATAGAAAAAAAATTGATCGGTATAACGTTAAGTTTAAGATAATAAGTTATATAGAATTTTGTAGTATCATTTTAAATATATGAATCATATTAGTATGTTAGTCATAGGAGTGGGCGTTCCGGAAAACGGTTCGGATTCGGGACGGAATTAATCGGTTCGATTCTTTCGGTTTTACAAAAATAGGTACCAATCGGTTCGGTTCGGTTTCGGTATCGGTTCGGTTAGATTCCGGATTTTATTAAAAAAAATGATAGATTTTCTTTAAAAATATTCGGTTTTTCGGGATTTTAAAAGTTTGGTTCGGTTCGATTTGGTTCCGGGAAAATTCGGTTCTCTAAAAATGGTACCGTTCGGGAAATAACAATGGTTTCGGGTCGAAAAAAAATACCGTTTTAACGGTTCGGTTCGGTCCGGTTCTGAAGAACCGAACCGAAACGCCCAGCCCTAGTTAGTCATATTACTAATATGAGTCACATGGGTCGTTTTTAGTTATAGAATATAACCACTCAATATTTTGAATTGAAAAAATCGCAAGAAATTAGATTTAAAACAAAAATTAACTTTAAAAAATATTAAACTAAACAATAAAAAGAATATATAGAATAATAATACTATTATTAATACATGTTAATATTTTCTTAATTAATTACTGAATTAATTATATAATTCAAATAATATATATACATATAATTATTTATCTTATTTTTCCTCATTTACTTATATTTACAATTTTTATATATATTGATAATATTGTTAACACAGACTGATTAAAAATCTGTGTGTTATATATGTATTAACAATGTATATATATACTAATAATATATGGACATGTATAGATAGAGACATGAGGGTAGGGATGGGCATAATATCCGAAAAAACCGATCCGATCCGTTATTCGACTCGTATCCGAATCGAAAATTCGGATATCCGGAGTCCACGGATCGGATACGGATATTGGTTTCCAAATATTTGTCGGATATGGATTGGATACGGATATCAAAATAAAAATATCCGACATATCCGATCCGATCCGTACTTTTTAGTAATATTAATAATATATGGCTAATTTTGTAATTAGTTTATATGTAAGGGTAACTTTATAAAAAATAAAACTTAAGTTAGGGGTTTGTCAAGAACACTCCTACGTGAGTTATTTCTGTCGCCGCTTTCACTCTTGGTCTCTCTCTCTCCCTCTCTCCGTCTTCGCTAATTCTCTCTTCGCCTCTGCCGCTACGAGAGCTCCGTCGCTCCGCTCTCCTCCGGTGGCGCTCCCTCGCCTCCGTCCTTCCCAATCCTCCACGCCCCGTCGTCGATTCGACTCTTTCTCTCCTTCCAGGTTCCGACAATTCTTCCTCTTCGTGATATATCTAGTTTAGTTAGTTGTTTGATTCGTAAGCTAAACAAATTAAATTATGATTGGTTATTTTTAATTCATTTAGAAAATGGATTAAACTACTTTAGACTCCAAATCAATAAATCCGCTGTAATGTTGATTGATCCAGAGCCTATCCATTTTTTTACATCATATATATATATATATATAATGAGAAATAGATTAATTAATCAAAAGAAATAAAAAAAACAGGGGGGACACGAGGGGGTTTTAATGCAAAGAAGGTGACCTCACATGTTGTGTTTGGCGAATTCCAAACCCAGAAGAGAGAAGGACAAGTGCATGTGTTTATATGTGTCTTAGGTTTTCAAAATTAAAATTAGGATTTATCTATAAAATTATATAATTTCATATTATTTTCCCATAAAATTTAAATAAGAATCTGTGCATTGTTCTCGATACTTCACATTTTTTTCTTCTCTTGTTTGATCATGTTAAAAATGCATTAAAACTATCACAAACAGCATCGACATTATACACACACACATGTAGGCTTCTTGTATTCCGCTAATTTTGTGGAACTCATTATTTTTTTATTTTTTTTGTTTAGACGGAGTATGTAGCAGAAAACTCAAAGACGCTTACCAACAATTCAGTCCCGATTACAGAGGAGACAAACTCTGTGTCTATGTCGGCAAGTGACGAGAACGTTGGATCTCAGGTACCTAGACCTCGATCACATGTTTGGGATCATTTTGAAAAAAACAAATGAAGGATTGAAAGCTAGATGCAATCATTGTTCTGGATTGATTAGTTGTCGAACAAAAAGAGGGAGCACCACTAGTGCAATGCTTAATCACTTGAAAACTTATTCGCGTTTAGTACGTGATATACCTGATGAGAAGCATGGGGAGAAGACGAAAAAACAAGTAACTTTGCATTATCGATTGAAAAGGAAGGTTGATGAAGTAGATAGTGTCCCCTCTTATGTGCAATTTGATCAGGATGCGTGTCGTAAGGCTTTGACGAGAATGATAATTATAGATGAGTTGCCTTTACGACATGTAGAAAAGAAAGGGTTTGAAGATTATACACATGCGCTTCAACCTTTATTTTCAATACCGTCTCGAAGGACTTTAGTTCGTGATTGTTTGAATCTGTATGTGGAGGAGAAGAGTAGGCTGAAAAAGTTTTTCAAAAGTTATACGGCTGGTGTTTGCCTTACCACAGATTTATGGACATCCACTCAGAATCTTAGCTACATGTCTTTGACGGCACATTTCATTGATAGTGATTGGATGTTACAGAAGAAAATCATCAATTTTTGTCAAGTAACTAGTCATTCCGGTGATATAATTGCGAAGACAGTTGAAAGGTGTTTACTTGACTGGGGAATTGACAAAGTGTTCTCTGTTACAGTAGACAATGCAAGTGCTAATGATACGGGGATGAGATACTTGAGAGATAGATTAAAAGTTTGGGGTGGATGTGTTTTAGATGGTGAATATCTTCATATGTGTTGTGGTGCCCATATATTGAACTTGATAGTGAAAGATGGTTTGCAAGATATGAATGTCGAATCCGCTCAGTGGTTCATTATGTAAGATCTTCTTCCATGAGATTCCAACGTTTCAAAAGTTATTTGGAGAAGCAAAAACTCCCTACAAACATACGTGTTGAATTGGATGTGGAAACAAGATGGAATTCCACTTATACTATGTTGGAGTCTTCTTTAAAAGTCAAGAAAGCTTTTGATTTGCTTGAGTTGCAGGATGAGAAGTATGTGGAAGAACTAAAAAAGAATGGAAAAGTGGTGCCTTCAGAAGAAGATTGGTCACGAGTAAGTGCTTTGTTGCATTTTTTAAAAGTCTTTTATGATACCACTGTGAAAATTTCTGGTTCTCAGTATGTGACCGGAAACTTATACATGAAAGAGATATTTACAGTGGGAGTACGTATTAAGGTGATGAGTATGAGCGAATATGAGATGATTCGCTCAATTGCATTGAAGATGATAGACAAGTTTCGCAAGTATTGGGGGGATTACAAAATAATGAATCCTTTGATTTATCTTGCAACTATTATTGATCCGCGTCTCAATATGGAATGGATAAGTTGGGCAGTTGAGAGAGTTTATATGGAGCATGAAGCTAAAGATATGATGAATATCATCGAACAAACACTGCAAAAGATGTTTAAAAGTTATGAGACTACCTTTGAGCCTACCAATTCCATTGAAACGGGTCAATCAAGTGGAAGTGAAGCGTTGAGTGCTAATAGCATGGATGATATTGATGATTGGTTGTTTCAAGATTATCTGAAACGTATAAGTTATGAGAGTGTAGTAAAATCAGAATTAGAGAAGTATTTGTCCGAACAATGTGAAGAGAATGTTCAAAACTTTGATATTTTGTATTGGTGGAAGATGACGGGTTCAAAATATAAGATTCTTTCTTTGATGGCAAGAGATCTTTTGGCTATTCCGGTATCGACAGTTACTTCAGAGTCTGCTTTTAGTACCGGCGGTTGTGTGATTAGTCCGTATCGTAGTTGTCTCACTCCGAAGATTGTTGAAGTTCTTATTTGCACTCAAGATTGGATTCGTAGTCCCGATGGATTGAATAATATTGAAGAAACGTTGGAAGAGATTGCAAACACTGAGATCGGTATGTAATATTTTGAATATTTTTATGTTTATTTATTGGCTTATTGGTGATTCTAATATACTTTTTTTTGTTTAGATGAAATAACCGAATTGTTCGAATCACCAATGCTAAATTTGGATGATTGATGTGGCGATCAAGGAGTTTTGGAGAACTAGAGTATATAAGGTATAATAAAATATCAATTGGTATATATCTAAGTTTTTATTAACCAATTGGTTTATATTATATGTTGGAATGATTTTTTTACAGGTTTTTCATGAAGATTCAACATATTTGTATTCGATGAATTATGATTATGTTCGTTGTTGGTTTGATTTAGAATGTTTATGTTATGTATTTTGAATTTGAATATCGTTTTGTATTTGATAGATTATATATTTTATTTTTGTTTTAGTTTTTTAGTTTAATTTTTTATTTTTATTATTTTTGTGTTGGATACGGATATTTGCAAATATCCGTAGTTTTTACGGATATCCGAAATTGCGGATATCCGAAAACTACGGATCGGATACGGATAACAAAATATGATATTTGTACGGATCAGATACGGATACAAATATCTAAAAAAATTACGGATATCCGATCCGTGCCCACCCCTACCCGAGGGAGGTTCATTTAGCCATTAGGGTTCTCTCACCTTTTTTTGTTTAAAAATATGAGACACGTGTCAATTACCAAAAGTTTCGTTATTGGTTTAGAAAACCTATGATTATACAAAATAAAAACAAATGAAGAAAAAAATGTCATAAGGTCCTAATAACCAAAATGCTTGGGCACATCGGCTCAAACTTTGGGATCCAATTGCTGGGGCTCGATTCGGTATTTTGGGCTTATTTCATATAGCAAGCCCGATTCAACTACTATCCCTGATCAGAATAACAATATCCTCAAAGCCAAACACTTCCATAGAACTATCCAGAAATCCTTTTAATAGAGCTCTCCTCGTCTCTGCAACGTCAACAAGATGGCGAAATCCAATGAACTCTCGCCACGTTTGAGCGTAACAGTATTGACCGTCCGATTATCCAGAGTGGATATATAGACGAACCAGATCGTCTGAGAGGACTTTGTTTCTTCAAGTCTTCCCATGGGCCCGACCCGGAATCCACGTCAAGGCAAAACTCCCACCCAATAAAATACAGCCACGTGTCTCTTCCTTCAAGAAGCACCGTCTGATCTTCCACGTCAGTAGAATGCTCACCTCTAATTTGCCGAGGGTCACGCAGATCTGAAACTTTGCCACTAACAGAACTCGCTTTCTATTTAAGTACCCAAACGGAACGAATCGAAGCGGAGAGAGAGTTTTAACCTTAATAGTGTGAGAGCTACTCGAAACTTTGATTCAAACATGAGGAAGTGGACGATCCCTTCCGTTTTGTTCTTCGTCTGCCTGATTTTTCTTCTCCCGGATCAAGGTACGTTTGCATTATCTTCGAGATCCTCGTTTTCTGGTTGATGTTTCATGGTGTTTTTCTTTTTCGGTGATTTCTGGATCCGATTATGTGTTTCGAGTTGTTCCTTTTCGCTTGATTAAGTTTGATTTGGATGTTGATTTCGCATTCGGATTGATATGTTGAGAGTGCTGAGGGATCTATGTTTTTTTTTTCTTCTCTAGGGAGAAAGTTGCACGCGAATGCGGACGGTAGTTCTGATGAGGTCGTAGATCCACCGAAGGTGGAGGAAAAAGTCGGAGGGATTCACGGCGGTTTGTCGACAGATTCTGATGTGGTTCACAGGTATGTGTCGTTCTTGTCGAATTCGAGCATGATCTCTGTCAAATGTATGGGAACATGTTGGGGACGGGACGAAATGATGAATCTGAAGCTCGCGTTATTGCATTTGGTTTTTCCAGAGAGTCTGAATCGATGTCGAAGAGGACACTCCGCAGTAACGCGGAGAAGTTCGAGTTTCAGGCTGAGGTTTCTCGGCTTATGGACATTATCATCAACTCTCTCTACAGCAACAAGGATATTTTCCTGAGAGAGTTGATCTCAAATGCGTCTGATGTAAGCCCGATTTATGTGCCCGGTTTCTGTTTTGAGCTTGTCGGACAAGTCGTGGTTTGGAAATCTGATGTTTTGTTTGTGTCTTGGTTTTCCAGGCTCTTGACAAGATTAGGTTCCTTTCACTTACTGACAAAGATGTTCTGGGTGAAGGTGACAACGCTAAGCTTGAGATCCAGGTAAGCTAGAGTCACGGTAATAGGAGCTTCCATATCTTGAAACTGGAAGGATTAAATTAGTGCATAGAATATGGGGAACTGAATATAGTTTTCATGGTTTGCTTCTGACACTCAAGGTTGAACATCATTTGCTTGTTTGGAATTGGTTTAGATCGAATTATTTGAATTGTGTCTAATGTGCAAGTTTTTGTGTTTTAACCATGCAATATGACAATGTGCAGATTAAGCTAGACAAAGAGAAGAAAATTCTTTCTATTCGTGACCGAGGAATAGGTATGACAAAGGAAGATCTTATCAAGAACCTTGGTACCATAGCAAAATCTGGAACATCAGGTATGTCTTTGTGAAATGGATGTCTTAAATGCAAAATCTCCAATTATCCTTTCAAACCTATCGTTAAAATTGTCATCTAATTGAATTCTTTTTGTCTGCAGCGTTTGTTGAGAAAATGCAGAAAAGCGGCGATCTGAATCTCATTGGACAGTTTGGAGTTGGGTTCTACTCTGCCTATCTTGTTGCTGATTACATTGAAGTTATTAGCAAGCACAATGATGATAAACAGTGAGTTTCACCTCTAAAGGGTCTACTACTAAGTTAGTAACATTGAGAGGCATATGATAAGTTCAGGAGTTTACATGTTCAATCACTGAAGATTATATACATTTGTTCAGGTATGTCTGGGAATCAAAGGCCGATGGAAAATTTGCTGTCTCTGAGGACACATGGAACGAGCCTCTTGGGCGAGGAACTGAGATTAAATTACATCTTAGAGATGAAGCTCAGGAATACCTAGAAGAGGGAAAACTTAAGGTGAATATTGCTATGTGGTGACTGTCCTTAGACTTATGGTCGGTTTTTGTTATATCGGATCTTGGTGTTAGGATTTGGATGATATTGTTCTTTTCCTGGCTAAAACATATTTTCTTTATATAGCACTTTTCATTGTGGTGTCTGTGGCCTTTAATGTCTACAGGATTTGGTGAAGAAATATTCTGAATTTATCAATTTCCCCATTTACTTGTGGGCGAGCAAAGAGGTTGAAACTGAGGTCCCAGTCGAAGAAGATGAATCGAGTGACGAGGACAATGGTCTGTATTAGCAAAACACCTCTTTTCTTCTTTTACCAGCTGCATGTCTTTACTCCTGTTATTGATCTGTTGTCTAACCACACTTCAACTCTCTTCAGAAATCAGTTCTTCTGAAGAAGAGAAGGAAGAAGATGCTGAGAAAGACGAAGATGAGGAGAGTGAGAAAAAGCCAAAAACCAAAAAGGTGAAGGAAACAACTTATGAATGGGAGCTTCTGAATGATGTCAAGGCTATATGGCTGAGAAACCCGAAAGAAGTCACAGAGGAAGAGTACACTAAATTTTACCACTCTCTCGCAAAGGTGATATGTCTCCGAAAATATCTAAAAGATTACTGTGTGCACCAGATGTAACTTTTTGTAGTGTGGCGTTTTCTGATCCAATCGTTGCCGCCATACAGGACTTTAGCGAGGAGAAGCCTATGGCGTGGAGTCACTTTAATGCTGAAGGTGATGTTGAATTCAAGGCTGTTTTATTTGTTCCTCCTAAAGCTCCTCATGACCTCTACGAGAGTTACTACAACAGCAACAAAGCAAACTTGAAGCTATACGTCCGAAGGGTCTTCATTTCTGATGAGTTTGATGAGCTTCTTCCTAAATATTTGAGCTTCTTGAAGGTACTTCATTCATGACAAGTTGAACAAAGAGTTGTGCATATGGCATCATCTGAGTCTCTTAACGCTTGTTCCTTCTGCAGGGTCTTGTTGATTCCGACACATTGCCTCTCAATGTATCACGAGAAATGCTTCAACAGCACAGCAGCTTGAAGACAATAAAGAAGAAGCTTATCCGAAAGGCGCTTGACATGATCCGCAAGCTTGCTGAAGAGGATCCTGATGAGGCTCACGACGAAGAGAAAAAAGGTGTGCACCATATAACTAACTCCTTAGTTCGAGATCTTATTATGCACGGTTTTTTTTTTTCTCATTCTGATACTGTCTCTAAACATTGTGAACTGCCGGCGTTTGCACAGATGATGTCGAGAAGTCAGGTGAGAACAATGAGAAGAAAGGTCAATACACGAAATTCTGGAACGAGTTTGGCAAGTCCATTAAACTGGGTATCATCGAGGATGCATCTAACCGGAACCGCTTGGCTAAACTTCTCAGATTTGAGACGTACGTCTTCAATTTAGCTCATCGCCTCCTCCTCTGTCTTTGTTTATTTCTCTCCAAATGTCTGAAACCTAGATTTTGCTGGTATAATCACAGAACCAAGTCAGATGGAAAATTGACTTCCTTGGATCAGTACATCAAGAGAATGAAGAAGGGGCAAAAGGATATCTTTTACATTACCGGAACCAGCAAGGAGCAATTGGAGAAATCTCCGTTCCTCGAGAGGCTCAAGAAGAAGGGCTTCGAGGTTTGCTTCTTGAACATTTTTTTTTGCTTTCTTTATTGCCAAAAGTTCGTTTATGAGGTTCCCGATATTTTCTTCGCCAGGTCATCTTCTTCACGGACCCAGTTGACGAATACTTGATGCAATACCTGATGGACTACGAAGACAAGAAGTTCCAGAATGTGTCGAAGGAGGGTCTGAAACTCGGGAAAGACGGAAAGGACAAAGAGCTCAAGGAATCGTTCAAGGAGCTCACCAAGTGGTGGAAGGAATCGCTCGCCACCGAGAACGTGGACGATGTCAAAATCAGCAACCGTTTGGCCGACACTCCATGTGTCGTGGTGACCTCCAAGTACGGATGGAGTGCAAACATGGAGAGGATAATGCAATCTCAGACACTTTCTGACGCGAGCAAGCAAGCTTACATGCGTGGAAAGCGGGTTCTCGAGATCAACCCCCGACACCCCATCATCAAGGAACTCAAGGAGAGAGTTGCGAGTGACCCTGAGGTAAAACACATATTCTACACTTTTTATATTAGGAGTAGAATGTGGGTCGGATACTCCACTTTTGGGTACCCATCTTCAGCCTTACCCCCTCGGGTTTCATGGCGGAAGTATCTCGGTCTCGTTCCCCGCCTCGGCACCCGGGTACCCAGAGCCGCTTATCTGCGGAAACTTACAGATCCTAGTTGACCCGAATTGACCTCAAAAATTTTACCTGAGTCCGAGCATTAAATTTGACCGGAATTTACCAAAATGGACCTGGACATTTTTGTGATATCTGTAAATATCATGGGTAAAATGATCTTTTCACATGCCCTTGTGTCCGAAAACCCGCACCTCAACCAATGTTTAGGGCTTGTCTCGTTCCACCCGTGCTCTGCCTCGTTCACACTCGTGAGACGGTGTACCTGCCTGCGGGTTTGGGGCAAATGGACCACCTCTAGTTCATGTCGTCTGATAAATGGATTAAATAAATACATGGAATGCTGCAAAGCAGCGATAGAATACTTGCACTGAAACAACATTAAAAGCTAAGTTCCCGTCGCCTTATTTTGATTTTCAGGAGGAGAGCGCGAAAGAGACGGCGAAACTCATGTACCAAACGGCTCTATTAGAGAGTGGGTTCATTCTCCAAGACCCGAAGGACTTTGCCTCGCGGATCTACAACTCTGTCAAGACCAGCCTCAACATCAGCCCTGATGCAGTACCTGAGGAGGAAGCCGAGGTGGAAGAATCTGAAACCAACGACAACTCCGAAATCAAATCAGAGGAGACATCGGGTGGCGGTATAAACCTCGAGGCCGAGTCCGTAGAAGAGGACACCGAACCAACAGTGACCAAGGACGAACTGTAGATTCAAACAAAAGCTAGGAGGACACAATGTGGGGGTGGTCTTTGTTCTTCACTATATCATCTTCTAGTGTTTAGACGAAGCAAACAATGATTTAGGTTTTTTTTTTTGAGGGAGCAGAAATCTAAGAAAACGATAATTAATGTCTCTCTGTACTTTGTCATATCTGAGTGAGTGAACTTCTGTTCGAGGGTTTCTCTGTTTTTCTTAAAATGACCATCACAATCAGGGGTCGACACTGGTCGGGTATCCTGATTTTTTTAGTATTCAGGTTTTGTCTTGTCTTCATGGTTTTGAAAAAACACTCTCGTTTTCATTTTTTAGAAGTTCGGGTATCTGTGGTTCGGTTATCCGTCGCTAAATTCAACTATACGAGGATATGTTAAAACAATCATAAGAAAATGTTGATTTTTGTTAATTTCAAGTGTATTTTTGTAATTAAATATAAATTTTTTTAGTAATTATTGTAAATATATTAAAATATCAAGGATATAATCGTGATTTTAATCAAAATTGGGTATCCGAGAGTATTCGTCGTTGTTCAAATAAAACCCGAATTCGAACCCGCGTTCCAGATTTTTGGTTTTATCGAACCCGTTTTCATTTTTGTTGTATAGCGAGTATCCGTGTTTCGAGTATCCGTGAAGTCACATATCCGAAAATCTACAGATTTCAAGTATCCACGTCTACCCCTGCTTACAATCATTTGAAAAATTGTTCAATCGAATAAATTTAGTTTTTATTAGGGTATAAAATGGGCGGGCGGATCGGGTTCAGTTGGATTTAGTTCAGACTTAAATTTTTTCGGGTCAGATCATCAGCCCGTCCATTTACTGTTCGGGTCTATGATTAGTGGTCCGGAATCTAGCCCTATAGGGCTTCGGACGGGTTCGGACCGGATTTCGGGTTTTTCTATTTAATAAAAAATAAATATTAAAGTATAATAATAATTATTATTATTATTAGGGGAAATCACCATAAAAACCTTGTACTCTTCCCAAGTCAACGAAAAAACCCTATACTTTTTTGCTTACCAATTAAATCCTATACTTGGTATGATTAACCAATAAAACCCCAAACTTGTTAATAATTCACCGAAAACCTCCCGCGTCTGCCAACTCAAATAAAAATGATGATGTGAATAGATATTAGAAAAAGCTTTCTAATGATATAAAGAAAGATTTATTTTGACATGTTTTATGGAAGTTTTGAAGTTAATAAAAGGGGAAATCGCCATAAAAACCCTGTACTCTTCCCATAATAAATTATATAATTTATTTAAATTAATTTATATACATATAAATTCAAATATATATATATATTAAATATAAAATTACTTATAACTAATAAAACACACACACATATATATATTATAAATTACATTATAAATAATATATATATATATATACATATTATTTTTTAATATATATTGTATATATATTAGTTATAATTACTTTTATTTTAATATGCATATTAGTTATATATATATATATTACATGTATAACTAATATATATACATATACATATTATTTTTAATAGATACATTATATGTGTATGTGTTAGTTATAATTATTTTTATTGTAATATGTATATGTATTAGTTATAATATACATATATTTTATCAAAAAAAATAATATACATATATATTGTATTGTAGTTATGTGTGTAATATATTGTAGTTATACATATAACATATACATATATAACTAATACACATATTACAATAAAAATAATTATAACTAACATATACACATATAATATATCTATTAAAAATAATATGTATATGTATATGTATTAGTTATACATGTAACATATATATATACAACTAATATGCATATTAAAAGAAAAGTAATTATAACTAATATATACACTATATATTAAAAAATAATATATATACAATATATATTAACAAATAATATGTATATATATATTATTTTTAATGTAATTTATAATATATATATATGTATGTTTTATTAGTTATAAGTAATTTTATATTTAATATATATATATATGTGAATTTATATGTATATAAATTAATTTAAATAAATTATGTAATTTATTTTTGTTTGAAATGATGATGTGTCATAATTTTGATGATGTGTACATAACTTGGAAGTCAAGTCATTGCCACATCATCATTTTTGTTTGAGTTGGCAGCCGCGGGGGGTTTTCGGTAAATTATTAACAAGTTTGGGGTTTTATTGGTTAATCATACCAAGTATAGGGTTTAATTGGTAAACAAAAAAGTATAGGGTTTTTTCGTTGACCTGGGAAAAGTACAGGGTTTTTATGGCGATATCCCCTTATTATTATAACAATAATGTTGAGTTATTTAGCAATTTTTTTTAAAAAAAATCAACAATAGCAAATTGTTTCCCATATCAATTACAATTAAAAACTTTTAAATCTAAAAAATGATTATGTAAATTTTAAAATATATAAATTATCTAATATTTATAATATATATAATATATAAAAAAAACATTTATATATATAAAAAATCAAACCAAAATCTAATCAAATTGTTCAATAATATATATATATATATATTAATTATTGAACAATTTTAGTACATACATTAACCAAATTGTTTTGAAATATAAATATATATATATATATATATAACATACAAATAAAAGTCTTTATTTAATATTATGATCTGGGATCTCGAGTGGAAGTAAAAATCTAATCATCTAATATTTTTCAGACTAAATAGGCGAGTCAAACGGGTTTTTGGGCCGGATGCGATTCGGGTTTTATATTATTAGAACCAAACCTTTAACTTTTTGTGCGGGTTTCGGGGTGGATTTCGGACTTCGGGTTTTATTGACACCCTTAGTTTCTATAGATAAAAGAAAATTTAATATCAAAGTAATCAGATTGAAAAATAATTGTCATGAGAGGTGATTTTATATTTGGGTAAAAGTTATTAAAATTTTTGAATTTATAAATTGGTAGAAAACAAATTTTTAAACTTTTTATTTGATAAATTTATTTTCAAAACGTGCAATTCTAAATTTATTAATTAGTATCAAAAAAATCTTGACATTAATCAATAAATTAATTTAAAAATTATAATGGCACGTATACGAAATTAAAAATTATAATAACACATCTTATAAATTTGGGAATAAATTTGTCATTTAAAAAGTTTAATAATTAATTTGTCATCATTTTAAAGTTTAGGAATTTTAATGGATTTGTTATTTGACTCAATTATTCGCCCTCTCCACGAGAAAACACACACATACATGATTAGGTTTGCTTAAATCGGATTAGAGAGTGTGTTTAAATGTTCCACCACTCTTACTTAGACACAGAGGATGACTGTAACGACATGACCCCACCTGCCTTTGTCGCGAGCTCTTTCTTGCAATCCTTGCAAACTTTGATCCCTTCCTTTACATTTATGGTTTTCACGTTCACTTTTACAACAACAACCAAAAAATTAAAAGGGATATTATTACAATCAAGTTCTTTTATTGGTAATTTCTTTTCTACATGGAGATTCTAAAAAAATCATATGTATTTTTTCCATATATACGAAATAAAAAGAAACATATTCCATAGTTTACGAACCAAACAAAAATATATTAAAATCTATATATGTAAAATTATATATATATATATATATATTGATTGTTTTTTATATTGGTTCATTGAACCTTCGTTTCTCAATCAACTACATCATTCATCTAATTGGGGTTGGTTTCAACAAGATATATATCAATAAGTAATATAATTTAGACTGTAATATTTTTTTTTCATCTATATACAAATAAAAAGAAAAGCCATTCACATTTTTCTCAAAACAAAATCAGAACACCAGAAAACTAATAGATGAAGGTAGAAAATTGTTTTCTGCCGAATAATCTGTACATCTCGCAATTAGAAAATTTGGATTCTAATATATAAAAAATTTCAGAAAAATAAAATTAACCAAATAGAAAAAATAAAACTACAATAAACAAATTCAAAGACGATGAACATCGAGTTTTTGCTGAATCACCGGAGAACATATCCGATAACCAAGATGACAATGGCGACGATGAATCACCGGACAATGGTCCTGCTACCGATCCACCATTATAATAATTATTGGATGATTTTTGGCTGAAATTATCAAACATAAAATATCACACATTAATTTTATTTTATTAAATATCATATAAACATATGACATGGACCGACATCAAATAAAATTTAAGATTTTTCTTCATGGTAATTTATGATTGTAAGATAATTATCTATTTTTTAAATGAAATAAAATTAAACATTGATGTTTCTTCGTAAATATATAAGAAATATACTAATATATAAATAATTGTTAATTTTTTTAATATTGTACTTATTAAATTCAAACTCATATATATATATATATATAATTGTTCAATAAAAAATATACAGTATTATTCAGCAAGGATGACTATTAAATATACTTTTATTAAGTGACACAAAAGGGGAAGCAACTTCTTTCTTTTGGCATGGCTCGAGCCAATGCCAACACTTTGCTAGCTAAGCTCGTTGTGTGCAAAAGAAAGAAGAAAAAAAGCAGCAAATCCCCCATAATAAAAAGAAATAAAAGTTAAATTAATTTTTTTTAAAAAAAAAATTCTTAAATATTTTTTCTGTTTTCAAAAAAAAAAAAAAAAAAAAGAGGTCTTCAACGTACCTAGGCGAGGAAGGGCAAAACGTGATCGTGTAATCCGCACCCGAGCAGGTGAACGTGCTCGTCGCGTCGTCGTACGCATAGCTGTACGATCTCGGGCAAGCCGACTTGAAAATCTCCGAATACATCGTCGGCTTACATGTCTCCGGTGATCCGTACTCGCCGCTGCAACAATATTCCGGCGACCCGAACGCCTCGCACGCGCTCTTGCACGCGACCCCTGACCCGACCCGTAACTCGGACGGGCATTTCCGGTTTAGATCGGTTACACAACCGGTCGATAGGCACGTGCCTGAACCAGCCGATGGTTCCACGATCATCGGTACGTTGTATCCGTCCACGAGGCTGACGTCGTAGAAGTCCTGCCGGGTCGGGTCGCCTGACCCGATTGTGAACTCGGCGAGTGTCGCCGGAGGACTTGCTCCGGCACCATTGCACTCCAACCTGTTTGAGCCGCAATCACCGGTTAAGCAAGCGCCTTGGCCGGTACCCGGGTCGAAATTGCAACCGGTTCGTGCCCAAAATCGGCCTGACCAGTTCGGCGGAGCTTGGAAAGAGCGGGAGTCGTCGGAGGAGAGTTCGAAACCGGTGGTTCCCAAGCCATCACTCCCGGCGTTGGAGAGAATTCCGGGCCAGACCGTGTAGTCACACCGGTTTATAACGGTTATTGTTGTACCAAAGTTTCCTGTACAAAATTCGAAATGTACGTCTTGAAGTTTAGTTGCATGTGTGTTTTGGCACGTTTGTGTATCATTTCTATCACATTGTTGAAGAAAAACAACGCGGGCTTTAGAGATTTGAATAAATAATAAAATGAATATAAAAAAATATATGGAAATTTACCTTTGAAGAACAGTAAGAGAAGGAGGTTGATGAAAGAAATCGAAGCAGATGAATGTGGAATCATTCTGAAGAGTATTTTGGTGTAAGGGGAGAGAGAGAGAGAGAGAGAGAGAGAGAGAGAGAGTAGTTTGGTGGTGTAAGAGAAGAGACCAAACTATCTGCCTTTCTATATATACATTTTCCAAGGGTCAAGTTTGATAAGGACCAAAGTATTTCTATTTTCGGTTTTGCTTTTTTTTTTCTTCTTATTTTATTTTCTGTATAAATTTTATTAAATAGGGCCTACACTAAAACCGATCACGATTTGGCAGAAAAATATAACTTTATTAAAATAAAATAGAACTTTTCCAATATGTTGACCCTCTTCATAATTCACACAAACTGCATATACACACACACATATATATATATATATATATATATATATATGTATATATTACTTTATATAACTATATTTTTGTCATAATATTTTGCATTAAATGTTCACCGATTGCGCGTTTCACAATCCTTTGAAAAAATATATATTATTTACCTATCACAAATTAAAAGATTAAGAAAAACTGTTTATTCATAGATAAAAGAACTATACCTCCGATACAACTCCAAAGAAGAAATTTTTCATTTTTTAATTAATATGTAAATGTCGTTTTTTTTTGTCAGTAGGAACTATTTTTTAATAATGCTTTCATTTTCATTCATAGCTCAAATTATTTTGAGTAGATTAGTATTGAATAGACCATAAAAAAAACACTTGCAAGTAATAATTTCTTCATTTTCTTATAATGATTTCTTATATCTATCCTAGGGTCAAATATTTATGAACCATCTCATTTTAGTGTTAACTGGATTCATCACATATATAACGATCGTACTCAAAACTTAAAAATATTATTGAAGATATAATAATATATTTAAAAATTAAAATATATTAATTTTGTTTTATTATATATATAATTAATGTTAATTTTATATAAATTAATTTAAATAAATGAGATTAATTTAGTTATAATGCATTATTAAACTAGATGGATGATGAGATCTCGGAGAGTTAAAGCATCAAATGTACCAAATTCTAGTATTCATCCCTTAGAATGGAATAATATATAGTTTATGAATAAATTATATTGAAATTAATTGGGAATATTTTAATTAAATTACTAAAATATGAACCATGTTCACACTAAACGAGTTATGAACTTTATGATTGGTTACCATTATCAAAATTTCCAAAGGATCTTTATATAATTTAACTTTGAGAGGACAGCTCGGATGATAAAAAAAAAATTAATTATTCATCAATTTGTTTATGTTGAGTTTATTATTTTATGGAATTTTAATTATCTTATGTAGTGGGATTAAATGTCATACATATCGTTTGATTCGTACTTTTCAAAGGGATTCACTTTATGGACCGACACGTCTGAATTTCTATGGATTTTTCTAACGTATGATTCTTTCTTTATTTGTTCTCTGGCCTTCCCTTTTTATCTTCTTATCATTACCCTTTTTTCCATAATTTTATTATCATTATTATTTACTCTTCTTTTGTTATTTTTTCCCATTGGCTCTACTCTAAGAAAATATTTTTTTTTGAAAAAAGAAGATTGAATAAAAATATTTTCTATAAACAAAGCTAATTTGAAAGGGTTCTAGAGAAATTAAATATTTTTTTTCAGAAATCTACAGAGTGAACCACAATTAGTTCATAGTTTATAAAAATAACTATTGAATAGTACGAATTTCGGTTAATATTGGAGTCAGCAATATATCATCTTTTAGAATATTTATAGATAATACAAAAGTATAAATTTCGATATTTCTTAAGATTTTATATAAATTTAATACGATTCTGCACAAAATTTTACCTAAAAAAAATTCGGAGCCTAATGATATAATACGCATCAAATCGTTCATATTTAGATTATATATATATTTTTTCTAATTTTAAAAAATATATGTATATTATATTTTGGAAAATTTCCAAAAAATCTTCTAATTTAGAGATAACTAGTAGATTTATCAGAACTTTTAAAACACTCATATTTATATTGAATTTGAATTTTTTTTCTAAAAAATCATTCAAAATTTGAATTTTAACAAATTTCTCATTAGCGTTCAATTAAGTTTGACACGTAGGCAGAAATGCTTGTGTGACGCCTACGTGGCATGTACTAACTCGCCACGTAGGATACACGTAATATTAATAATAAAAAATTTAAAAAAATTTAAAAAATTAAAAAATTAAAAAATTAAAAAATTAAATTTTTTTTAAAAAAAATGTTAAAAATTGTAAAAATTATAAAAATTGAAATTTGAAAAAAATTTCAAAAATTGTAAACATTGTAAAAACATTGTAAAAAATTGTAAAGAAATTGTAAAAAATGTAAAATTTGTAAAGAAATTGTAAAAATTGTAAAAAAATTGCAAAAATTTCCAAAAATTTCCAAAAATTGTAAAAACATTGTAAAAAATTATAAGCAAATTGTAAGCAAATTGTAAAAATTTAAAGAAATTGTAAAAATTGTAAAAAATTATATATATAAATATAATTGGTTGGATTATATATATGAAATAAATGGCAATTGAAAAACCGATTTTATAAAAAAAATTGTAAAAATCGAGATGGAGTAGAGATTTTTAAATTGGTTTTTAAAATTTTTCCAATTTCTTTATAATTTTTACAATTTGTTTACAAGTTTTTTACAATTTTTCAATTTTTTTTCAATTTTTACATTTTTAAAATTTTTCTATTTTTTTTACATTTTTTTATAATTTTTTTTTATATTTTTACTATTAATATGACGTGTATCCTACGTGGCGAGTTAGTACATGCCACGTAGGTGACACGTAAACGTTTTCTGCCTACGTGTCAAACTTAATTCGGCGCCAATGAGAAATTTGTTAAAATCCAAATTCTGAATGATTTTTTAGAAAAAAATTTTAAATTCAGTATGAATATGAGCATTTTAAAAGTTCGTGATGAATTTGCTAGTTATCTCTAAATTGGGTGATTTTTTTGGAAATTTCCCTTATATTTTTAATAAAGCAAAATTTTTTTTTGAAACCTGAGATTATTTTAAAGAAAATTCGGTGGGAATTGGGTTCGAAAGGAGTATATTATGATGTTTAATGTATAAGCATCTTACAACTATATGGCTTTTATCAAACTTATTCGACCGAACTAACTTGTTTGAATATATTTATCAAAGTAAGAATCTATAAATGGATGCCGCCTTTAGTCTAATTATATATTATTCTTGAAATTTTATTACTTTACTCGGGATTATATTCCTAACCAATATTAAGAATAATGAAGCTAATAACCAAAGCGTATTAGTTACTTATCACAAAAAGGAATTCCACATTTGCGTGTAGTTTTTGTAACTATATATTATTCTTTAGAAGAAAAGAGATATGACATACAATAAATTTAAATTAATGATGCTTTTATGTGAATGAAAACACGGAATGTATAATGGAATTTGTTGTTGGGGGTATTATATGAAATTTCTCTTATTTTTCCTTACAGTTCTTAAAAAATTCCTTAATCATATCAGATTTCAATAATGAATATTAAACTTTTTTATTATGTATGAAAAAACCTATGTTTTGATTTAATACCATTTTTGGCATATTGATAGAAATGTGTGAATGAATAATTTAAATTAAAATATCTTTTGTTTCCATAATAAATTCTGTGAAATGTACAAACTATATCACATTATACATGGCATGGTATTTTCTTTAATTTTAAACAAACCATAAACGTAATCGTAGCCACAGCGCCATATTGCGTAAAAGAAATACTCCAATAAATGAATCTAACCCACTTGATTCATACCTATTTTTATTTCTAATTGATCTATCATGCACGTACATTTCAAAAAAGATATTTTTTTTAGTAATCGGATATCCTGAGTTGAGGCTTAGACTATAATCACAGGGTCAGAAGTTCAAAAACATATTTGACTATCTGCCTAAATTAGTGTTTACAAATTATTTACATATCTAAGGCTAAGTGTTCAAAAATCGGTTAGAATGGTGAAAAATATAGTTTCACCAATCGTCTAAGTGGGCAAAAATTTATCCTTTCATTGTGCAAAGTGAAAAGGTAAATAACTATTGGCACATTAACCTATTGTGCTTGTGGTCCCTTTGGTGAAGATTCTTGGCGGTTGGCGGTTTAGGAAGACAAAAGGTTAGGAAACGAGAAGAGAAGAATTGACTGTATAATGATTTGAATTTCATCCATTCATGCATGAATGATGATGATGATGATGATGATGATGATGATGGTGTTTTGAGGATGATGATGACATGTTAAATCATATAAAAGAAAAAGAAAGAAAAAACAATGACCGTGTGTATATATATAAAGTAGTCAAAATGAGAAAAAAAAAGGGGGACTCAAAAACAAACAGAAAGAAAAGCAAAGAGATGGGTTGTCTACGTGCCCAACCGAACTGCCATTAAGCAGTTGAGATTTGTGTTTCAGAAAAAACTGCAATGTGTTGCGGAACATGTGCATATGACAACTTGCCTACGTTAACATTGCATGGCCATGTGCCTCGCAAAAGGAAACTCTACGCGCTAACCGTAACCGAATATATCCATTTATCCATCTATTTATCATCAATTAATATGTAATATATTTTAAATCTAATTAGAAAAATTAGTATAATGATATTGTTTTATATTCTTGGTATATAAAAAAACGAAATATGCATGTATTTTAATGTTTTTTTGTTATTTTTATAAGATAATTGTTTCAATTTTTTTTTATTGTTTTGTTGTTTGGATAACCTGAACCGAACCTCATCCGATCCGATCCAAACTCGAACCGAACCGATTAAAAAAATATATCCGATTGGATACGAATATTTCAAATCCGAAATACCCAAACCCGAAATAACCGAACCCGATTGAACCGAACCCGCCCGATCGCCCATCCCTATTACGCACACACATATAATATATATATTTATAGGCCTTGAATGGATGAGTTTTTGGGGTTTTAAGAATCCAAAAACAAAACAAAAAACAGTTAAGATTTTTGTAATTTTAGGTTTTCTAAAAACGTGGAAAACTATTTTAATGGAAAAAAACAATTAAAAAACT